TTAGCCACAATAATACTTTTTAAACTTTTTATCTCATTGCTGCAAACAATGAAATCACAAGAGTTTATATTTTAATGTCTGTGGTTACATAAAAATATAGTTACTTCTTGGTTAGTCACAGATATGTCGTGTAAAGGTAAAGGTAAAGGTACCCCTGCCCGTACGGGCCAGTCTTGACAGACTCTAGGGTTGTGCGCCCATCTCACTCAAGAGGCCGGGGGCCAGCGCTGTCCGGAGACACTTCCGGGTCACGTGGCCAGCGTGACATGGCTGCTCTGGTGAGCCAGAGCCGCACACGGAAACGCCGTTTACCTTCCCGCTAGTAGGCGGTCCCTATTTATCTACTTGTACCCGGGAGTGCTTTCGAACTACTAGGTTGGCAGGCGCTGGGACCGAAGAACGGGAGCGCACCCTGCCGCGGGGATTCGAACCGCTGACCTTTCGATCGGCAAGTCCTAGGCGCTGAGGCTTTTACCCACAGCGCCACCTGCGTATGTACACCCACATACGTCGTGTACTGCTATGCAAATGAAGAAAAGACTAAATCCTTACTTCAGTGTCTCACATTTCCCTTATGCCTACTGATTCCCTATTAAAACTAGCACTTTTAACCCGAGGTTTAAATAGTCTGTGAGAGGCCTATAAACAAAATCGCACCTCTTAACTTCTATAGTCATTTCTGCACAGGGAACAAGGTTTCCACGATACCAACTGTCAGAGGAAATCAATCAGCTTGTGGTTGTTGTGTGCTGCTAGGTATGGTCATATTTGTGCTTAAATCAGAAGCCTTCAAGGCAGAGCTTAGCTGATACCCTACTCCCATTTCCCACTCTTAAGGATTAAGCAGGAAACGATAGACCTCAGTTGGCAGGCAGAATAGTATCCTCCCTAAAAGCAGCAGAGTTATGCCTAAAAGATATATGCCATTTTTTTTGCATCTAGCCATTTTCCTTGTCACATACATTTAACATTGCTGCTGAGATTAAGGAAATTATACTAGAAGGTGCACGCTTTATTGTTCTAAATATCTGAAAACAAATGATTATACCTTCATATAATTCACTATTTTTGCAAGGACTCCAAACTTGTAGCCAGATCCACCAGAAAGGGCTTTCAAGTTAAAAGATCCATTGCTGTGATCTGCAAAGGAAAAACATGTTCTCATTTAGGCTAAATATACCCTTCTGTTACCATAACCACAAAGAAAAAGCTACTAGCAATACCTAGCAGTTTTCATATGCATTACAGTATTTTCAGAAACAGCACTTATTACATGTTTGGAGAAACAAAGATTTTCAAAGCACATTTCATTATCATAAGAGTAATCTTTATCAATAAACTGTTGACATTTTTAAAGCGGAGTATCTCTTTACAAATTGTGTTACACTGGGAGTTTTGCAAAACTTGGCAGCCTTGGTGTTAGCGATATTTACAGATTACCAGCAATGAGCCTCAAGCCTTCCACACAGCATGAATGAGGTTCCCTGCACATGAAGCTCTGCAGAAGACATATTCCCATGGAGTGATCCCACAATGATAAAAAGCATGTAAGGTAAAGCAGTAACACAGGTAGGGCCAAATGGCTATTTACCAGACACTTCAGTGGCATGGTGACTGAATGTGAAGGGGACTGGAGACAATAAATGCTTCAACCAACTAGTAAATTATTATTACCATATTTTATTGATAGCCTTCTAAACAACTGTCTCTAGGTGAAGCACATGAAAGATAATTAAAAACAATTAAAAGCACAAGAACTGAAACTGTACTATCTGATTGTGTTCATTAGCATTACCTATCTCACATGTGCCTGCCCAGGCAATTCCGCTTCTGAGTCCTCATGCCTTCAGAAATGAAGCAGGGGAGCATGAGAAACCAGGCCTTTTCAAGCACAACACACTTAAGGAATTGTCTTCCAATGTATAGCCCCCACAAGCAATGAAAACATATTCTGGATAGCTTTTGAATACTGATGCTTTTATTCTGATACTGCTTTTTAATATATTTTTCTGCTACTTTTTTACCTTATGTGATTGGATTCATATATTGTTTATTGCATCTTTTTGGAGGTGAAATTCATTTCCCCAACCCCCTGGATCAGATGGTGGGAGAGACAAGAGGACGGGAGAAGTCCTGTTGCGCAAGCAGAAATCCTTACACTAGCCAAACAACTTTATTAGGTACAACCATCTGTCTATAAGGCAGCTGAGGGTCTACCAGACCTGGAAATAGCAGGATATGAGATGACATACAGTAATAAATAAAATCTCCCTAATTGTCCCATGTCTTACAGACAGTAAATAGAAATTAAACTGCCTCCCAATTTCTCTAGCGCTAACCAAGCCAAATAAGCATATATTTTAGATCCCACATGCAAGAAAAGACCACTGAATTCTTTAGGCTCTGAAAAGTTGCCAGCTCTCTCAAATCCTTCCCACTAACATTCATTCTAGTACCACAATTCCATGGGCCTGGGTTTCCAACAGCAAAGCCATTTGCTGAACTAGGGTTGCCATATTTCAAAAAGTGAAAATCCAGACACAAAAGTAAAATAAAACAAAAATTTAGTTTTGGAATTATTATAAAGGAAATTTGCAAAAAAACAAACAAAAAACACTTCTGACATGGGTTGGCATACGTCCGGATTTTCCTGGACACTCAAGAGTTTTCTGCCCGAGCGCTGTTACAGATGGCAAAATCCCAGCAGTGTCCGGGAAATTTCGAACATGTGGCAATCTTATCTGGATTCATGTGCCAGAAAAGACCATTGACTAAAAATAATTTACCACATCTGACCCAGTAGAAAGTCTCTGCAATTACTGTATCAAAGTGGTCGAGTGAACTGGATAAATGTATTTTAGACCAGTGTTTCCCAACCGGTGTTCCGCGGCACACGAGTGTGCCGCGGAACGTTGCCTTGTGTTCTGTGGGAGGGAGGCGGGCGACTCGGGCGGTGAGAGGCGGGGCGGCGGCGGCGAGCACACGCGGGGCGGCGAGCGAGCTCCCTCCCACATCCCATCGCCGCTCGCTTCGGCCGGCCTACTGGAGCGAGCGGCGATGGGATGTGGGAGGGAGCTCGCTCGCCGCCGCCGCCCCGCCTCTCGCCGCCCGCCTCCCTCCCACGGCACACCAGCCTACCTCCGTGTGCCTTTGCCCAAAAAAGGTTGGGAAACACTGTTTTAGACTGACTTAGGCTGAAAATCAGACTCCTGGCAATGAATCAAAATTTGAGATTTATCTCAGTTATTCTGCCATATAAAAATTCACAGGCTGATTTTCTCTACAAACTGTACCTAAGGAATCTCATAATAGTAAAAGACAATAAAAACAAAACTACAAGCAAAACCATCAGTAAATTATTAAAATAATGTGAACAGACTATAACAAAGGCAGTAGTTAATTAAAAGAATGCTACAATGAAACAGTCTTCTGTTCTTATGGAAAGGCAACCAGTGATTGGGTCAGGAATACCTCAATAAGGAGACGGTTTCATGATCCCTTCTCACAGCCAATAAGATTCTATTTTCTCATGCCCCCTCCCCATACTTCTGATGGTACAGAGTTCTTGAACATATTTGTATAGTTGAAAGCAAATTTAGTAACCCCATTCCCAAGCCATTAAACTGTTGTTGTTGTTCTTTTGTTTTATTTCAGATTGGCCTGGCTTTGCTCTTTTTTTATTTAAAAAAACAGTTTTTATTGAAGGATTTTCATAGTTAACAACGTCTCTGTTTTCAATTCATAGAGTCCTTTCTTCAGGTCAGTTATATTAAAATGAAATATTGTTTTAACTGGAATTGATAATTTCTCTTCCTTGGTGTAAGGTAAAGGTAAAGGTACCCCTGCCCTTTCGGGCCAGTCTTGTCAGACTCTAAGGTTGTGCGCTCATCTCACTCTAGAGGCCGGGAGCCGGTGCCGTCCGCAGACACTTCCGGGTCACGTGGCCAGCGTGACATCGCTGCTCTGGCGAGCCTGCACCAGCGCAGCACACGGGACGCCGTTTACCTTCCCACTATAAAGCGGTACCTATTTATCTACTTGCACTTTAAGGGTGCTTTCGAACTGCTAGGTGGGCAGGAGCTGGGACTGAAAGACGGGAGCTCACCCCGCCGCGGGGATTCGAACCGTCAACCATGCGATCGGCAAGTCCTAGGCACTGTGGTTTTACCCACAGCGCCACCCGCGCCCCTGCTTCCTTGGTGTACTCCTACTGAAAAGGTAAAGGAAAATGTACACCCAAAACTACTTTGCATGATGGTTTTTTTAATCATTTTTATTCAAGCAGTCAAAGTAATAACAAATTCAGTTTTCTTTCCTAAATGGTAATATGAATCCATTGAAACAGAACATTGGCATTATTTTCAGATATATTTTGTGGAAAATAAAAAACTAAATTTCTAATTTTCCAGAAGTTATTCTGTTTTTGGCTGATTACTTTTTTGTTGTTAATAATCATCTCTGGTATTTTGCTAGCTGTCTTAAGCTGCTAGAAAAACAGCCTACAATATTTTAAAGAAATACAGAATAACAAATTTGGACACATTTTGAAGAATTCAAAACATATTGTAATTCTCATAACTATCACTTGGTCTTCCCTGTCTACTTCAGCTATAGAAAACAACCAAAGAAAAAGGTAAATATTACAGATGCAATTCACAAACTACTGCTGTAGTTTCAAATATTTCAATGCCTTTTACCATAAATGGTTGGCAATGCAGAAAAGACAAAAGGTGTGTCTGTGTGAGTGTACATATATGAAAATTTAGATCAGTCAGTAATTCTCTTCTATTAAGATCCTGACTAGTTATGGATGGTTCGCACCAGCTTGGTATGTCATTAAAAGAGCAAAGAAACCTGAAGGCATTAACACAATAAGTGCCTTGCTCGGATCAAAGCAAAAGCACAAAAGGCCACATTATTTATAAATATATTTAATGGTTAAAGGAGCTTCTGGGGGAATGGCAAGGCAGGGGAAGAAGATCTAGACTGATACCCTCTACATTTCAGATTTATGAATGATTTCCTCCTCGAGTAGGGGTCTGATGCAAATGAGCATAAAGGAAGTTGTCAGCTGCATTCTGCTTCAGCCAATAGCAGCAGAGCTCCATTTTAGCTGTACCCGAGGCTGTATTAAACAGCAGATCAGCACTGTTCCAGCATCCTTTCTAAAAAGAGGTAGGTTTATACCTTTTTTAAACTGTTGTACAATTATTATCTGAAGGCAAAACAGGTTTTTTAAAATAAATCAAAGCATGCAAGACCCCCATCTACAATTTTTTTTTTAAAAATGCAAACTGTTTACTTTCTCTTGCATCTAAAGCTGGATTATGTGCTGCTTAAATGCAGAGACGCTTCTCTTGTGCTAATAGAGAATCTTACCATCTGTGCATTCATGAAGAATTGATGACCATCCATCTTACAGAGAGAGCCCAACACACCCAGATAATATTCTGTGATCAAAATCCCTTTGAGGCGGCGTGTGACCTACTAATTAATCTAATTTTGCCTGCTAAAAGCTACTGTTAATAAATATGAAATAAGGCTGTGCTAGTAAGATTCTTTTGTCCTCAAATTTAAACTATCGCTAAACTGCACACACAAAAATGCTATTAACCAAACCCACTAAGCTGGAATCTTAGACTAGCCTTAACCCTTAGCACTTAGCTATTGTACCTCTTCCGAGATGGATCACTGACATATTCAATGGGATTCTGCCACTTCAAGTGTGAAGTGATGATTGTTTTGGGCTGCAATGCTATATCCTCTAATTTGGGAGTAAGCCCCACTGAAACCAGAGGGACTTCAGAGTAAACATGAGCTGTTAAGTTTTATGTTGTACTGGTTCATTTAACATTACAATTCCATGCATGTCTATTCAAATGTAAGCCCCACTGAGTTCAATGGGTCTTACTCTCAGATAAGTGGGTATAAGACTGCAGAGAAGATCGTCCTTAAAAACGTGTTGTCGTATGTTTCCTTACGGAACTTCTTTAACATGACCTAGAGAACCTACTTTGCAAGTCATGTGCTTTTACTGCTTTCCATATGGCTAAGTAAAAATAAGTCAAGCAGAAAGTACATACAAATAAACATGAAAAATTTAACTGTCATTTGATTGTGTGGGCACACAATGAAGTGCATACATACATATATATATTTACCTTACTGTAAAACCAAACATTTTGTTTCAAAATGTTAATCTCAAGGTAGTAAAAGAAAGAACCCTTCCAAAGCATAATTGTCAGCATGTAAATACAAATGCCCATTCTTAAAACAATCAGTATTGGACAGTAATACATTTACTGATTTACTAAGCACCATCATGTCTTTATACCACATTCTATCAGGGTTAATCCTCCTGGCACAAGTAATATTTAAAAATAAAAGGTAGTTACTCCCTTGATAGCCATGACTGAAGCTCTCTTAAATAGTTACATTTATATTTCACCCTTCCCCTAAATATTATTGAAATATGTTGTTTTTAAATCTTTGTACAAATTTCTAACAACATAATACCACCAGTAGCGATCATTAATCTGATTACAATCAGGTTTTTTAACCACTGCACTCTGCTTTTTCAATTAAAATGAAACACAGCCTCATACATTAATCACCCCCCCCCAACATACGTCCGGTTGTTGATATTTAGGCTAAATAGATATATAGGATTCCTTTCACAGAAAAGCAATCAGTAGGCAACAATACCTTTATGACCTATGGACTCATCAGGCTTTTCTAATAATTTAGGCCATGCACTTTGCTCATAATTTTATATACTTCCCAAGCTGTTGCTTCTATTTACAGCAGTAAAATGTTGGATCCTATGTAGCTATGTGTCAGTTGTGGCTAAACAGGAGCCTTCAAAACATGGCCCAATCTCTATCACTGCACTCTACTACCATCACTGGACACAAGCACCTGCTAGAGGCACCGCGGGCAATTAGGTGTTTCTTTCCTGTATCTTGTGTTATTTGACAGGATCAAATACAAAAGGAATCCAAATGCTCTTTTTATTGTGGGTGTTTTGCTTCCTCTTCTCCCCTGCTCTTGATAATTTGGAGCACATTGTAGGTCCTGCTTCAAAATTAAATTGATCAAATTAAGCTCATGGCAGTTCTTTCCAGGAAATTCAATAAATCCCAACACTTTTAGCTTTTCATGTTCATATTTTCCAACACACAGCTGGGCAGTCTATGTGCCAGTGGAGAGCTGGAAAGGAAAGCTGTTCTCACTAGTTAAGACTCTTGCCTATGTCTATGTAGTGTGTTACCAGAAGGGCTTTGTCTCCACTAAAACTGCCTTTGGAAGAAATGACAGAAGCTCTCCATAGCCAAGTCTAGCCATCTTTCTGTGACAAGTTTTACCAGCTGTCAGGGTTCAACTTTAGCAGGATGCCAGGCGCATTTTGTGCCTAAAGATGCTCTATTTGTGAGCACCTCAAAAAGTCTGGGTGCCGTTTTTCGTGCCTGGCTGACACTCAAGGATCACTGAAATGTATGTGCTTTGAAGCCTCAAAGTATATGATAAGGATAGACAATAAGTTAAGGAGTTTAACAATAGAGGAGAATGTTCTGAAAACTGAAGTATGGTACCAATATTTTTATTCTAAACACCAGTCTAAGCATGTATTAACAGTTTATGCTAAAAATGTGGTCTTACCAATGTGTCACTTGTGTTAATTGCGTATTAGTTCATGCTTATCAAAATAATAAATAAAAAGTGTTGCCATCCCACCCCATCAGTGACAGCTAGACATTCTGTGTTGGAGCCCACAACCCATGTCCCAGAAGCCATTTGGCTCCTAGCTTTTCTATCCAAGTTTCTAACACTGTCTGCTCCTCAATGATGCCATGTGAGGTCTGACCAAAGAATTATATTCTAAACACTAGAACTTAATTCAAAACAAAATGACTAAGGTTGGCATGCCAGTCAGCCAAACAGTCAAATATGGCCAAATATCCCATAAAGTCAAGATTGTCATTGGCTGTGTTAGCATGTAATGCTAACTCATGATTTGTTTAAGCCACTGTATGTCCAACAAACCACAAACTGTCTCACAGATGGGCAATCATGGTTTGTTTCTCCAATGTTTGGTTTGTTTTCCAACTGTTCTTGTCTCATGCCTCTATAGCTCTATAGCAAACATTTTCAGCAGGGGGCCGGTCCACTGTCCATCAAACCTTGTGGGGGGCCGGACTGTATTTTGAAAAAAATAATGAATGAATTCCTATGCCCCCACAAATAACCCAGAGATGCATTTTAAATAAAAGCACACATTCTACTCATGTAAAAACGCCAGGCAGGCCCCACAAATAACCCAGAAATGCATTTTAAATAAAAGGACACATTCTACTCATGTAAAAACACGCTGATTCACGGACCGTCTGCGGGCTGGATTTAGAAGGCGATTGGGCCGGATCTGGCCCCTGGGCCTCAGTTTGCCAACCCATGGCTTAGTGAGTGGGGTGGTTGTACAAACTATGGCTAAGAAAGAATGCAGACATGACATCCAAGGAAAGTTAGTAAGCCAGCTTGTTAGCCAACAATAAACCATGGTTTTACATCACAATTTGTTGCGAGAAAACAAACCATAGTCAGTCTGCTGATCTAGGTTTGGACATTCAAACAAACCACACTTTGGCTAAATGAACCATGGTTTAGCATCATGTATAAATTAGCCATTGTACAGATGGCAATTTACATTTTTATTTCATCATGGTGTCATTCATTAGCAAGATCAAGAGTGAAGTCTGCTTGCTCCCTAGCCCTATAGCAGTCACAGAGAAAGCTTCTACTGCTGCTCATCCACAGGCAACTACAATAGTAGCAACGGTCACTGCCTAGGACTGCCTAGGACTTCATCTTGTTTACTGAAGGAACCAAATAATTTATGGCCTGCACAAATGCTTTTAAAAACTATTTTTTTGTTTTTCAATAGTTGCTGTTACTTGGCTTATCTTTCTGTTTTACTTTACTTTTTTAAAAAAACAACAACTGTAGGCTGACCATGTTTCAGGATGAAACTGAGAGAACTGATCAGTAAATTGTTCACATTTATACAAACTTTACCCAACATTAAAAATGATAGCAATTACCATTTTGTAAGTTAATTGGGTTGGGGGGGGGAGAGGTTAACTTGTTTTTACAATTTGCAAAATGTCAAACCTGTTTTTTGTTCTAATAAAGTTGATTTCAAAATACATTACCATTATTTGACAATATCTGTCCAGTCAAATGTCTAGTCCTACACATGACTGATGCAGTTTTGCAATACAGTAAGAAACATAAAGCAAGCACTATGATCCAAAACTTTGCTTTATTTGAAATAAAACTGAATTAATGTACCTGCAGGTCAACACCGTTATATAAAACTATAGCAAGAAACATGAACAAACAATTAGCCAATTAAACAACACAACCTTTCTCAAACTATTTACATAGAAAGAAACAGTTCTATTTTGTTGGTGACAGGAAAAAGCATAAAAAATTAACAATAAAGGAAAATCACCAACTTTCCTGTTTGTATATTTCAACACACAGAGCTGGTGCAGAGACGGAACTTGGAAGACTCTCTCAACATGGCAACATTCAACAATAGCCGTTGGAATGAAACTACATCCCTCTACCAATATCTTGGTTTTCAAGTGCAGAAGATTTATCCTTTCCATGACAATTGGAACACTGCCTGCTTTGTCATTTTGGTCATATTTATATTTACTGTAATATGTTTGGTGGTGCTAGCTTTCTTATATGAGCTGCTTGACTGCTGCTGCTGTGTGAAAAACAAAACTATGAAAGACTTGGAGAATGAACCAAACCCCGTTAGATCTATGATGGACAGCTTCAGGAAACGTGAAACAGAAGTGGTGTAGCAATGGACTATTTTGCTAGCACCTGCAGCAAAACCTATGTTCAATATTATAATAAAGCTGCTTGCAACTTTTGACCAAGCAAGTCAGATTCTGCTTAGCCTTAAATATCATTAGCACCATTTTTTGTTCACTGGTGGATAGAAACTTGAAGAGTTCACAAAATGCTTAATACTGGGATGATCAATCACAGTGTTATGTGAAAATGGATTTTATGTAAAAATGGTTTCTTTGTTGTTTTACAATGAAAACCTGTTGACTAGATTGGAGTAAAATTTTGTTCATCTGACCAATTATGTCTACTGCTTAATTTATTTATTTTAAAAATAAATATTATTGTCATTCAATATTTCTTTCCCAAGGCAGGCAACAAGTAACAACATATAAAAAGACAAAGTAAAGTGTATAAAAACAGCAGAGACAGTAAAAAATAACAGTAAGATTGATTCTATTTTTAAAGTATTTGTCATAGTCTGAAAGCTTATCAAACCCAAAGAAGTATAGCAACACAGAACCATTTTAGAATTCTGCACATCTGAAGGTATTAGATGAGCAAACAACAACTTTTTATCATTTATGTAGTACATTTCAAGTATTTAAAGTTCTTCACATATTCATTGTGGTATAAGCATCCCATCAGGGAATGAGTATAGGAGTGGCTAACATTTGGGAGTCCAGATGTTGCTGTCCTACAACTCATGTCATCCCTGACCATTGGCCTTGTTGGCTGGGGCTGATGGGAGTTGAGAGCACAACAACAACTGGAGAACTGCTGGTTAGCTGTCCCTGGTGCAGAGAGAGAAAATTATGTTAGCAGGGAGGTCAAAAGAAAATGAAATGCATTAAGTACTGACAGTGAAAAATACATGTGATTTTAGCTGTATGTAAAATAATTGTAGAGACCATTCAACAAGTCGTTCTTACATTGGTAAATTAATTATGATCTGTAACTTACCAACTCAATGACATTTATCAACATCACTGCAGTTAATTACTGCTGTTGCCATTTTTTGTATTCCATCTCCTCTGACCTCACTGCTAACATGTTTTTCTTTACACATCACAATATATATATAATATTCTGGCAATCCAGGGTAACATTCCATGCATCTGATGAAAGCATTATGCCATGAAAGCAAGCCTTCTGCCAATACATGAGTTTGAAATCATACCAGCGCGACTATTGACTGTATTGCATATTTGTCAACCCTGCATCTACACAGTAGGGCTGACAAATTGGTTAAAAAACATGAAAAACCCAACAGTATGTGCTGTGTTTTCTTTTATATTTGGAACAGTCAGGCAAGGAAGGAACTCTGTTAATATGAAAACAGAACTGTTTCCTGCTCTTGACTTTGAGAGGATTTAAGCCTTACAAGAAAAGCAAGGCTGGCACCAAATCTAAGTGTTGGGTTCCCACCTCCACCAAAATCTGTAAAACACACAGTACAACTTGATGCCATGACATCATTACACTATGAGGTCCCATTGCTGCCATCCAATTATGCAGAGCATGGGAACACAGCATGGTGATGACAGGACAAGCAATTCTTGGCAGCAGGCTCATGTAACATTTAGTTCTGCAATCTGGTTTAATGAGGTGGGGGGAGGAAACGACTGAACTGATTCTGCCATGGGGTGAGTGGTACAGCAGTCTTTTCCTAACAACAAGCAAGTCTCAGTGAATTCTAAGCAATACTCAACACTGCAAGTTACAAATGCTTAGCTGGCTGATAAAACTCTACATCAATAGCAGCACCCACTTTGCAATTCTTAGTATTGGCCCTGAAAATGTATGATCATTGACTTGAGGAAGGAAGTCTGGAGGAAAGAAAGAATGGCAATCATGCAACAGGAGCTGGCCGAATGATGAGGCTTGCTTTATTAGAACATAGTGTTACTCTATTCCTTTGTCCAGCTGCTAGTTCCCAGCAAGTCTCCTTACCTTACTGCTCCTATCTTGCCTGCATGGGCTCCTATCACCAGCTGCAAAAAACCTGCCACTCAAACGGAAATCTCAATATAAGCCAGGGTTAATTCCATCTCTCACATTTCTAGGCTATGATATAACATAATTAACAGCATAAAGGCCCAGAAATGAGATACTGGATCTTAACTGATGATTTAATTTTTTCTTTTAAGAGTAGAAATACACAGTAGCCTCACTCATGTGACTGGAACCTGTATTAAAAAAACTATAAACACTAACAAAATACTATCATGAGAGCTAGAACCACTTTAGCAACACAGCTCTGCTGCATGAAAGTTCAGATAATATTACTTCTCTCTTGAAGGAGCACCACAAACCAAGAAAAACAGTCCCTTGGTTCCATTTCTGTTATGTCTATTATTAGTAGTAGTAGTATTTTTTTGAGAAATGGGGTATAGTCCAACTTCTCCATCCCCAAGTCATTAACTGATCTAAATTGTTCCTGACCCCCCCACCACAGAACTACCATTAGAAGAAACATACAAGGTGCCCTGGTTTGCACATTATTTATTTATTTATTTATTTAATTTATATCCTGTTCTTTTTTCCAAAGAAGCCCAGGGCAGCAAAAAACAAGTGGTAAAACATCTTAAAAACATCAAGCCACAATTAAACTATGGTTTAATGTAAAAGAACAGTGAGCTTGTGAATGCTACTAAAACTGCAGGCATTTCACTCCTCCCCTACTCCTGCCAGGAAACAAACCATAGTCTGGCTTGTCTGGCTTTGTTTTTCTCTATGAATTGAGAAACCAATGGAGATCAAAGTTTATTCCTGGCTTGTCACTTGTGTTTGCTTGGAGAGAAATCAGCCACAAACCTGGGTGTGGCAATGTGGCAGCAGTAAAGGTAAAGGGACCCCTGGACCTAATGGTCCTTCCCACCGGAGCGGTACCTATTTATCTACTTGCACTTTGATGTGCTTTCGAACTGCTAGGTTGGCAGGAACAGGGACTGAGTAACAGGAGCTCACCCAGTTGTGGGGATTCGAACTGCCGACCTTCTGATCGGCAAGCCCTAGTCTCTGTGGTTTAGACCACAGCGCCACCCACGTCCCTTTCCCACCATCATAAAGGTAAAGGGACCCCTGACCATTAGGTCCAGTCGTGGCCGACTTTGGGGTTGCGGTGCTCATCTCGATTTATTGGCCAAGGGAGCCGGCATACAGCTTCCGGGTCATGTGGCCAGCATGACTAAGCCGCTTCTGGCGAACCAGAGCAGTGCACGGAAACGCCATTTACCTTCCCGCCGGAGCGGTACCTATTTATCTACTTGCACTTTGATGTGCTTTCGAACTGCTAGGTTGGCAGGAGCAGGGACGGAGCAACAGGAGCTCACCCTGTCACGGGGATTCGAACCACCGACCTTCTGATCAGCAAGTCCTAGGCTCTGTGGTTTAACCCACAGCGCCACCCATGGCAGCAGTAGTGAGGCATAAAACATGCAAGATTTCAGTAGCATATACCAGCACAATGCTCATTCACATTTATTTCAGCAGTGGTTTATTGGGACACGTTAATCAGATCGTTATGTATCCATAAAGCTCAATGACCTGGAAGGATAGGACATAAGAAGAAGAGTTTCTGCTTAAACTCCAAAAGCAGAATCCACGAACCTGCATTCTGTTTTGAGCTTGAAGATCCACCCTGCTCTACCTTTGTCTTCTTCTTCTTAGAAGATGAGGAATCAGAAGAGGGTGCTGGACGTTTTTCTACAGCTGGAGTACATAGCGCTCGCTTTTTGAAAAGTTCTCGTTCTCTTAGCAAGCTTGGATCCATAATTCTATCAAAAAAAGTGAAATACTAGTGAGAATGTGTTGTATTTATACAGAGCTTTACATCATACATAATAGTTGCATTCAGACATTGTCAGCCGCTAACATGGGAAGAGTTGTCTTCACCATGGGTTGAACAAGATCTAGCTAGTCAGTCCCACTCTATTTCCCTCAGAGGACAACAGTGGGAACTGTCGCCTAGTAGGCAGAGGCTGAAGGGCAACACCATGAAAGACTAAGAATGAGGGCAGAAAATGCCCCCTGAATAATCATAGTACCACGGGATTGCCACATTATTTCTGTTCCTAATGCCACACTTGGATTTGATTTTTACTGTTGGAATATTTTGTATGCCACTTTAAAAGTTTCTATGAGTTATAAAACAGGATAGAAGTACTGTAAATAAAGAAAACTAAATTATAGTTTAACACTACAGGGGAGTGTCTGGGTGAACTTCCAGCCTGTGTGCTCACTCCTCCCTCCAAAAGCATTAGCTCCTATTTTCAACTAATCATGGTTACTTATTATGTGTGAACACAGATAAATTGTGGTTGTGTTAAGCATGTTTTAGGAACCAAGCTTTATGATCCTGGCTCAGTCTCCTAAACCATATGAAACCCTAACAATAGTTCTTGGGTCAGATATAGCATGTAATCACAATTACTTGAAAATGGAAGCCAAATCTTCTTATGTTTTCCTCACGAACCACAGGAAGGTGAATGCTCAGCTCAAAGTGGCTGCTCAAAGCACTATTTCACTACTTCTTGGCTTAAATCCATGCCGTAAAGCTCATAAGCATTATCTTCAAACAGCAGATGTAAGGCTGAAGAAAGCATCTTGCCCAAGACCATTTGGTAGGTTTTCAGCAGAGGCAGTATGTGAATTGTGGATTTCCTGTTTCACATATTTAGCCAATATAATACCCTAACTTTCCTGGTCATGAGGGTTCCACAGTTTTAGGTAACTGGCAAGTGTGTGCTCACAAGCACAAAACTTTTTATTGACTATTTCTTGCTCTGCCCTGAAGGAACACTTCAAGACTTGGAGCCTTCCAAGACTGCTAATTCCAAGGCAACATCCTGTTTTTATTCCATGTTCAAAAGGGAAATGGGCAGCTGAAGAGTTGTAAGTCAGCTTCCCCCTCATCCCAAGATGAGTTACCAGGTAAAATATTCAGAGCAGCATCTCTGGCGGGAGTCCACAGTTACACTTGGGAAATACAGAGGACTTCACCAGAAAGTTATGGCGAGCAAGTGAAACATACTGGAATATTTGCATAGGCAGCGGTTGCCTCCGAAACTGAGGTAATGGCCTTGCAGACCATTATTCTCCCAGCCTGAGACCTTTTGCAATGTGAGGCAATAGCACCGCTTACGTTACAGGGGTATCAAGCATTACCCAGCTCCTATTTCTGAGAAGTTTTGAAAACATATGGGTCACACACCTGCTCTATGGAGTGCCTATGGAACTGCTGGCGGTATTTATCCTTGAGGAACCCTGGAAATTGTGCGGAAATCGTCAGGGAGCCCCTGTGCGCGACCACAGAGCAAGGTTTCTGAGGGTTCCTCGAGGAAGGAAACGACAGTCCTGTGGGGCGGATGACGGTGCCTCTGATAATAATAATAATAATAATAATAATAATTTATTATTTGTACCCCCGCCCATCTGGCTGGGTTTCCCCAGCCACTCTGGGCGGCTTCCATAGAAACCAAAAAACACTAAAATATCATACATTAAAAACTTCCCTGAACAGGGCTGCCTTAAGATGTCTTCTGAATGTCAGGTAGTTGTTTATCGTTTTGACATCTGATGGGAGGGCGTTTCTCTGAAACGTAAGGCGACCGCGAGGGAAATTTCCCTCAAAAGCAGGGGCCACTTTTCACTTTTTCTCAGCTTCCGCACGGCAACCGTATGTCCGGGTTCGACTAGCCAGGCTTCCCTCAAAGGGACTCCAAGGAGGACCTGGCAGTTTGAAGAAGCCGCTCCGAGCTCCCTCAGTTAAGAGGCCAGCCGCCCTGCGCGCGCCCCTCCTCACAACCGCCCCTCAGTTCAAAAACCACAGCGTTAGTGTTGTTGTCGTCGTTGTTGCTTCAACTGCTGCGAGGAGGGGCGCGCGCAGGGCGGCTGACTTCTTAACTGAGGGAGCTGGGAGCGGCTTCTTCAAACTGCCAGTTCCTTAGCGGAGTCCCTTTGAGGGAAGCCTGGGTAGTCGAACCCGGACATACGGTTGCCGTGCGGAAGCTGAGGAAAAGGTGACCCCCGCTTCTGAGGGAAATTTCTCTCGTGGTCGCCTTACGCTTCCCCATGCCCGGAATATTCCCGCTTCCCACAAGGGGGTTGGAAGGAAAGGGGGATGCCCTGGTGACTCCGCCCGGGGAGGTGGGCTGCCGGGCTGCCCCCTCACCTTCTCCCGAGCCCGCCCCCCACGAGGCAAACCAGAGTCGCCGCCGCCGCCGTAGCAGCAGCCGCCAATCCCATCCCGGGGTGCCGCTGAGCGCACGCGCGCCAAACCACTCACCTCGCGCACGAGACTACCCCAACGGCGGGAGTGGGGTGGGCGGGAGACGGGTAGAGTGTTTGTGGGAGGGGGGGGCGGGTTTGGGAAACCAACTTGAGCCCCGCGGCTCGTGCTGCTTCCCTATTGGCTCAGCTTCCTAGCGCGCAGGTCTTCCGCCGACATTTCCCATCCTGCTCGCGAGGCGCGACGTGACGTCGCCGCAGCGATGCTTTTTTTTTTAATATGAACCCGGAAGTACATCCCTACGTTGCTCCGGCAACGGGGAGGATTGTTTGAAAGGCGCATGCGCGGAGCAAAAGGGTTCCTCTCTCTCTCCCCCCCCCCCCATTCCTATTACTTGGCTGATAAAGTAGAGAAAGCGTATTGGTTGGCATGCAAGATGAGGGGTGGGATTAAGGCGGGTCTTGGGGGGTGAAACTTAATTTTTTGCAGGGGTCTTAAAAGTACGTTTTGGGGGCGTGAGGAATTAAAATCTGCTATCATTTTTGTGTTTGGAGAACGTTTGGCTTCGCAAGGCTGCGTTTGATGAAGCACATAAACTGGAGAAAGAGCTTTTGCTGGCTCCTAAATTTTGGATCTTCCTCCCAAAGAAAGACCCCTTTATTGCCTGGAGACCCTTTTATTGTCACTTAGGTGTCAGACGAAAAGAAATTCTGTTTCTTTAGGCTCTTAATATTTAAATACTTCAAATACATTAAGTATCCATGAATTCTGGAGAGTAAGGAGATAAAAAGTCAAATTTTGTGTGTATGCATAGAGCAGGGGTGTCAAATTCATCGGGGGCCGCATCAGCAGTTTGGTCACCCTCAAAGGGCCGGTTGTATCGGCCTAAAATATTTGAGCAGGCTGAGACCCCCGAAGTTGATGGGCTTTGACATTTAAATGGGGTGTGTGTGGCATGTGATAAATTATGTGAGGTTCGAGCTGGTCTTTGACCAGTAATAAATTATGATGATGATGATGATGTGAGGTGGGGCCTACCTGCCCCCCTCAATATTTTATTCAGGCTGACACCCCTGTTATGAAAGTTTACTAAAGTCTGCCCCTGTGGTGATGTATCATAACATTGTGCAGGCCCAGTCTGAGGGCACCTTTTCCCGGACTGCATCTTGTGGCTGGGGCTTGTCTGCGCCTTCTCTTCCTTCTCTGCCTGTTGCTGCCTCCTCCCTGTGCCAGGCGCTGGTGGGGGGAGGAGATGTGCTGGTTGCACCCCAGTTTCTGACGGGGGCCAATGCTGCTTGTTCCTCCCTCTGCTTTTCAACACTGCAATATATCACTACCGTATCCCACAACATCACTATCACAATGTTGACAAGTTGGTATTGTCTGCTTTTAGGGGCTGAGGGGCTTACTCAGTATGGACAGGGGCACTCCTAGGAATTTATTGGATTTCAAATCCCTGGATTTCAAATCCCATTGAGGGGGGGGCAGGGGCGGACTTTGGTAATATGGCACCCACCCTGAGTGAGGACAAAATTTGGTGCCCCCCCCCCAATAGAATAAATAGGCATTGTTATCATTATTTTGTGCTCCCTTGGCTCGGGGCGGGTGAGGCGCCCGCACGGCCCCAAATCTGGCGCTGGTGGAGGAAGCACATTTCCACGACGGGCCGAGCTGCCCCTGTAGATCCTGCTGCCTGAGGCAGCCGCCTCCCCATGCCCTCCGTGGCAAGCCGAGGCTGAGGGGGACGTTCGCTTGCCCAGGCGCCGGGCTCCCGTCCACTTGCTCCGGCGCGTCCGCTGCAGCCCTGCTGCCAGCAGCCATCGGGGAAGGCGGCCGGCCGGGCTCCGGGGCTCGGTGGGGCCCGCCGGCAGAGGGCAGCGCTGCGCCTCGCCTGGGCGTGGAAGCCCTGCTGGCACGTTGTTTCCCACGCCGTGCGTCCGCGCCGCGCTCCCGCCTCCATCTCGGCTCACTCCCTCCCGTCCTCCACCTCCGCGCCTCGCCTGCCAGACTCGCATCCCTGCCCGGCGGCGCAGGCGCAGCGGAGGCCGAGCATGGCGCCAGCAGCGGCTGCAGAGCCCGCAGAGGGGCATCCGGCTGGGCAGCTCCGCTCCGCTTGCTGCTGCTGCTCGTGCTGGGCGCCTCCTGGGCGGCGCGCCCGCCGGACCGGTGCGGCCACCAGAGACGCGGCAGCCCACGGGACGAGGCGGGCGGCCGGCAGGGGACCTCCGGAGGCGGCCTCTCTGCTCACCACCTCCTTCTGCTGAAAGGCGACGTGGCGCACAACCAGGCGATGGTGCACTGGACGGGCAAGAACAGCAGCGAGAACGGCGGCTACACGGGCCACATGACGAGGTCTGGCGGGCCAGATTCGGCCCGCGGGCCTTGTGTTTGACACCCGTGGCATAGAGGAAGGGGTGGTGGGTTTTGGTCCTTAAGGAGTAAGGGTTAAATTATTTTAGGTGGCAATTCATTAGAAAATACCTATAATTCTTCAGCATGGACTTTAAAAATAATTTTTAAACTTCTGTCTACTTCTCACCATCAACCTTCATAACTGGACAAAACAGAATAACTTTTAATGAAAAACAAGTTTTATTTATAAGAAAGTGCCAAAAATAGTGGAAGTTATAGAAAATAATATATTAACAATTTAACAATATTCATAACGGTTAAGTAATCAGACAACCACTTAGTTATGCACCACAATATACTGCGGTTGGGTTACATTTTTTGCCTTCCTTAAAGAAATGGTCACAAAAATAAAAAATGTGGGATTGCCCATTTTATGCAGCAATAACCCTACTGATATTACTAACAGGGCAGCTGGAGAAGACAGGTGCTACATGCACTGTTCCCAGGCTTCAACTGTTCTTCGAAGTGTACTCTGTGTTCTTTCCCCCAAAGTTACTGAAACTCTTCAGCATGCCAATATTCAGTGGTACACAGAGGTGCAAGCCTTGCAACACTATAATCTGATTTAACCCACTGCTGTTTTCTTCTTCACCTCAAGGTTCAGAACCTGGTAAGCCCGGCATATGAACGAACTCAATAATTGGGGTTAATTTTAAGCCCATCCAGTCATAGGTTCGTGTGGTAAAAAATGAACAGAGTTTTTCCCCTCAATGTTCTGTATTTTGAAAAAGAGATGTTCATAAATGCCTCACTGAGTCAGACTGAGTGAAGAAAAGTGAATGAAGTATAAAATTTTGATCAGTTTTTATATTTAAACATAGTTTTATGATATCTCCATGTTCAACCAAAGAGCCCTTTGCTTCCTCCAGCCTTAGATTTCTTGGGAGTTTTACGAGGAACAGTTTCTTCTGAAGTCCTAATCCACCCTGGTAACTTCCTCTTGGAAGGCTGAGACAATGTCTAGAAAAGAAAAGAAGAAATCAAACACATTTCCCCCCACTATTGCATACCGCTATTTGCAGATACTGTCAACTGCCTGTGTTCCTACCAGCCTGCCTGTTGAAGTGGATATAAAGATACATTACTCCACACTTCTATCAAGTTCCTTGGAGTGTCCCACAACTTTTGGTTTTGCACTTTAACCTCTGTTACCTTGGCAGGCAGCCCTTCACTAGGGGCTGTTGACATTTCAATCTCCTATCTTACTTTCCAGTTCCCAAATCATGTCAAAGAGCTTCAAGGACAGATGCTGGATTAACATCCCAGTGCTAAATCAAAACAGACATAGCAAAATATTCTGGCTGGCCATGTCATTTGTGCCTCTCTGAGGTCAGATAAGGAGATGGAATGCAGCCTATGCGAGTCACAAAATGCAGGCACACAAAAATCATGCCTAATGCTTTCTATCTAAAACGGGTCCGCAAAGTTTTTGTGGCTTGGGCCGGTTCACGGTCCTGCAGATGCTGTGGTGGGCCGGAGTGTGTGCTTGCACACACAAATGCACACATGTGCAAACGCTCTTTCCGGCGCTCCTTCCGGACGCAGAGGAGGCGTGCGCAGCTTCCCATTGGCTGCAGGAGCTTCCTGCAACCAATGGAAAGCCGGCCAGCGTCGCAGAAGGCGGTCCTCACTCTGCTCCGTGCCAGTTTAGCACAGCGCACGGGAGCCAACCAAGCAGGTGGCGGGGGTCCATGGGCCGCTTAAACGACCCCCAAGGGCTGCTTGTGGCCCATGGGCCTTAGGTTGCCGACCCCTGACCTAAAAAGTTAAATGTAAATAATATTGGGACAGTTAGAACAAAATCTGTATATTGAATATCTAATTTTCAATCAAATATCACAATTTTTACATCACTACTTTCTCCAGAAACCTAATCAAATCTATGCATGATTAAGGACTGCCTCTCCCTATGTGCATTGACCAGGACCCTGCAATCAACATCTGAGGCCCTTCTTTGTGTGTGTCCTCTATGAGAGGTCTGGAGGGTGGCAACATGAGAACAGGCCTTTTCTGCAGTGGCTCCATATTTGTGGAATGCTCTCCCCAGGGAGGCTTGCCTGGCGCCTTCATTACATATCTTTAGGTACCTGGCGAAAACATTTCTCTTTAACCAGGTGTTCAGCTGATTATTCTATGGCTTTTTAAATGTGTTTGTGGGAGAGGGGTTATTGGTTTGTTTTTGTTTTATTATTTATTCTGTATTGGCATTTTGTATTTTTCTGTTGTGAACTGCCCTGGGATCTTTGGGTGAAGGGTGATATACAAATTTAATTAATTAATTAATAAAGATGATGATGATTTCAGCTATGGTTTGGGATGTTGCATTTGTTTGGGTTCCTCACTTCCACCTTTGTGTGAGAGGGAATGGTGGAACTTTGAATTCTGAGCTCCTGAGGGCAGGGGAAAGCCAGGAATTTGGCTAAAAGAGAATTTGGGAAAGACTGCCTTCCTAGATTGCTGTAGGCTATACCCACAAATCCATTCAACAGGGTGGGGGACAAGATGCTAAGCTACAGGGACTATACAGGGAAGGAGGAGAGACGACAAGCAATTCCTTGTGCGGTTTTAATAAACCAGGTCTCTACAGGACAGTGAGATTGCTGTTACTCTCTTGGTTCTGTAATTTATTTAAAGGTATTCCCTCACCTGGGTAATAATAATAATAATAATAATAATAATAATAATAATTATTATTATTATTATTATTATTATTATTATTATTATTTATACCCCGCCCATCTGGCTGGGCTTCCCCAGCCACTCTGGGCAGCTTCCAAAAAAATATTAAAATACTGTGATACATCAAACATTAAAAGCTTCCCTAAACAGGGCTGCCTTCAGATGTCTTCTAAAAGCCTGGTAGTTGTTGTCTGGTAAGAACATGTGGTGCAGAAGTAAATTCTTACCACAATAATTACAAATGTAAATATGATATATTGACCACATTACCTGTGACTGGGAATCAGTAAAGAGATCTTCTTCCTCAGCATTGAGTGAAGTCTGATTCCATGAGGCCAATCTGATAGCGCTCTGATGGCTCTGGACATTTGGTTTAGCGCCAAGAATTTGCTCTTCATTATTGCTTTTCGCCTTTGAAAGAAAAACCATGACAAACATTCCATTGGCTACTGAATGAAAACACCGAAATAGAAAAGGATTTAACATGAAAATCAGTCACAGTATAATGCTGTGCACTAACACTTTCTACTGTTCATTTGGTAATTTGTATGACCAAACACTCATAGTTTACTGAAAGATTGGATATTGCTTTTAAGGAACAAAAACCTGCATTGCAGGCGCTTCATCTTATCATTAAACAATGAGCCCCATGTACACTGTAACGCTTTCCACATTCTTCAACTATGCTAAAACAATTAGTTGCCGAAAAGAAAGCCGACAACCAAATCCTGTGGGAAAGCTGTTCTACGCAAGGAAAATATATTCATGGATGGAACACAAGAATCAAAGGGGAAACCAAAAGAGAGGGAAAAGAAAATACAAAAATAAAATTAAATCAACCCGGGGGGGGGGTTGGATTCCAAAACAGTTAACAGACACATAAAGAATAATAGGATTTTATTACATGGGGGTTTTTTATGGATACTTAGGTTTCCTGGAATTCTATCCCATACAAAATTATAATGTCAGAGGTGATTACCCAAAATGAAGAATCTGCAAGTTCCTTGAAGAAAACCAAGAAGTGTATCAATACACTGGTATAATTTAATTGCTGTTAAAATGTACTAGATAAAAAGTGCAAAATAGTGTCTCATCAAAAGGAAGAGGAAATCCTTAAAACTGATCATTCCAGTCCTTTTGCGTCATAATTTTGACCCAAATTGGTTCCTCAATGCAATGCATTCACCATCTCAACCCTATCTTCACATTTCCAACCTTGTTTCCAAAGCAGCTTCTCTATCCCATTCGGCAGCTCTGCTTTGCGCTGATTTTACTATCAACCTCCATGTCCTCCCATCATAGAATAATCAAATTGGAAGGGATTCTGAGAATCATCTAGTCTGGAATGCAGGAATATGCTGCTGTCCCATACGGGAATTGAACCTGCAACCTTGGTGGTATCAGCACCATGCTCTAACCAACTGAACTATCCAAGCTCATGCAACCCTGGCTTGCGTGTATGAACCCTCCCGTCCCACCCCATGGTACAAAGTACCCTTTTCGCCTGGAGTTCTCCCTTGCTCCCACTAGGTGCAGCTGTGGAGCCATGCTTCTAGAAGAAAACAGTATTACTACATTTTCCTTTCAAAGAGCTCAGGTGGCAATTAGTCCTCTCTCTCTCTCTTTACTTCAGACCCTTGTGAAGCAGTGGATACCCTGAAGAAGTGCAGTAGTACCTCAGGTTAAGAACTTAATTCGTTCCAGAGGTCCGTTCTTAACCTGAAACTGTTCTTAGCACCAGTTTAGCTAATGGGGCCTCCCGCTGCCGCCGTAGCACAATTTCTGTTCTCATCCTGAAGCAAAGTTCTTAACCTGAGTTACTATTTCTGGGTTAGCAGAGTATGTAACCTGAAGCGTCTGTAACCTGAAGCCTCTGTAACCCAAGGTACCACTGTACTTGGAAGTGAGTGATGGGCTTGGGTGAGGGCTAACAAAGTGAACCCCCACAGCTGCTGGTGAACAAGTCTGGCAAACCAAGGATGTGGTGTTTCGACTCCTTCCAGAGCAGGCGGTGCCCCCCTTTAAGGACCTGGAAGCGGCAGGGCCACCACACAGTTTGACGGCATCAGTAGCTCACAATGCCTCGTACTAGCTCAAGCATAGGCAAACTTGGGCCTCCAGATTTTTTCGGACTACAACTCCCATCATCCCTGACCACTGGTCCTGTTAGCTAGGGATGATGGGAGTTGTAGTCGCAAAAAACATCTGGCGGGCCGAGTTTGCCTATGCCTGTACTAGCTTCAGCTCAGGGTGGCCTCTATGCCCCTTCTTGGAGTGAGATGACCTAGCCAGTGACATAGTGTCGGCTGCCGACGTCCCAGGGCGCACGCCGGGAAGGGGGCACACATGTGCACTGGACGGGATGGAATGTGTCCCAGGTGTGGGGGTGCCAGCCCAGCCAATGCCACCAGAGTGGCCCCACCCCCACCAGAGCAATGCGCTGAGCTGCCTGCCCACCTGTGCAAGGGGCAGCCTGGCCGGCCAATGCAGTCTTTGGCAGGCAGAGGAGCACTGGATCAAACCATCACCTGCGTGGAGGCACCTAGTTTGTGCCCCTTCAAAAACTGGGCGCCCAGCACCACAGCCCCCCCCAACGCCCCCCCCCCATGCTATGCCCCTGGCCACAAGTGCTCATCTTCTAGTTACATCCAGACTCTTGCAATGCATGTACATGGGACTGTCTGTATAAAGTTTGAGATTGAATCCTTACAAGACAGAAGTACTGTTTTGGGGGGGACAGGGGGCGGGCACGTGGGGGGGGACTCCCTAGTCCTGAATGGGGTAACTGTACCCCTGAAGGACCAGGTGTGCAGCCTGGGAGTCATTTTGGACTCACAGCTGTCCATGGAGGCACAGGTTAATTCTGGGTCCAGGGCGGCTGTCTACCAGCTCCATCTGGTACACAGGCTGAGACCCTACCTGCCTACAGACTGTCTTGCCAGAGTGGTGCATGCTCTAGTTATCTCCCACTTGGACTACTGCAATGCGCTGTACGTGGGGCTACCTTTGAAGGTGACCCGGAAACTGCAATTAATCCAGAATGCGGCAGCTAGACTGGTGACTGGGAGTGGCTGCCAGGACCACATAACACCGGTCCTGAGAGATCTGCATTGGCTCCCAGTACGTTTCCGAGCACAATTCAAAGTGTTGGTGCTGACCTTTAAAGCCCTAAACGGCCTCGGTCCTGTATACCTGAAGGAGCATCTCCACCCCCACTGTTCTGCCCGGACACTGAGATCCAGCGCCAAGGGCCTTCTGGCGGTTCCCTCATTGCGAGAAGTGAGGTTACAGGGAACCAAACAGAGGGCCTTCTCGGTAGTGGCGCCTCCGCCCTGTGAAACACCCTCCCTTCAGATGTGAAGGAAATAAGCAGCTATCTTCTCTTTAAAAGACATCTGAAGGCAGCCCTGTTTAGGGAAGTTTTTAATATTTAATGCTGTATTGTTTTTAACACTTGATTGGGAGCCGCCCCAATATTATTATTATGTGTCCAGAAACTACTTTTCCTCCAACATGCAGGAGCCAGACAACTGGGACTGACTGCTGTGAACGTATTATCCAATAACTAAGGGAGCTTCAAGGAGCCGGTTTGGCTTTCAAAGCTGTACATGGTTTTAAGTTTGGCTAAGCATGTTGTCCAAACCCAGGCTCGTGCTTAAGCTTTCTCCCTGCTAACTACAAGTTTGCGGGGGGGGGGAGGTTTTGGTAAGCCATAGTTTGGCTTACAGTGTCCTGCAAAGGCCCCTGTGACTGACACAGGCACAGAGTTGTGCCCGACACTGGGGGGTGGGGCCTGACGTAACCCATGCAGTGTGTGTGACAACACATGCATTGCGCATTGCGTGCATGACTGTTGCATTGAGGGAGGCCAACCAGACCTCCTCTCATTGTGACATTCACCCGCAAGGCCGTATTGGTCCATGCAGCATCAGGAAACGCCACATGGCCCAGGGCGACTTCCTGCCAGGCTGCAAAGCTGGAGATGCCCCACAGCCAGGGGCAACATCCCACCAGGCCATGCAGCATCCCATATTGCTGCAAAAATATGGGGAAACAGAACTGAAATTAACAGAATTGTCCATTGCTAGGCAATGAAACAACTGCAAGTGCAGTTGAGTGCAAAGGAACAATGGAAATAAATCAAAACACCACTGACGCCAAACCACTTTTTGTTTCTTTCTTGCATAATTAGTTTGACAGTGGCTTTCTTTCTCTCTTTCTTTGTATAACTTTGTTTACAAACCTTTGTTTTAATCCACATAATTTTCTCCCCATCCTTCTGTGAGGATACTGTCGTCTGTAGACATGAAGGTTCTCTAGTTGGCCCTTGCTTTTCTGAATCATCCTGCTGTCCCAGCTGCTGACTTCTGTACCCTTTCTTCAGCAGTGCAATGGTCATTCTTATAAGATACAGTTCAATATCTGCAGGGACTAGTGTTCTAATAGCTTTCACTTGTGTTATATCTTGGAAAGGGGAAAAACAACAATGCAATAATTATTATTTGGTAAGAGAAAAAAACCCACTGTGAAGAATTGCTCAAATTTCCACAAAATCATATTTAGGTTTGCATCCAAAGCCTGTCATACTCAGAAAAGATCTGTTGGATGGGATGCAATGGATGAGTCCCATCAGCGGGTTTCAACTATCAAGTCCCATTCCTCCCATGAAAATTAATGGACATGACTAACTTAGGTCCAATGACAAACCTAGACAGCATCTTAAAAAGCAGAGACATCACCTTGCCAACAAAGGCCCGTATAGTTAAAGCTATGGTTTTCCCAGTAGTGATGTATGGAAGTGAGAGCTGGACCATAAAGAAGGCTGATCGCCAAATTATGGTGCTGGAGGAGACTCTTGAGAGTCCCATGGACTGCAAGAAGATCAAACCTCTCCATTCTTAAGGAAATCAGCCCTGAGTGCTCACTGGAAGGACAGATCCCGAAGCTGAGGCTCCAAGACTTTGGCCACCTCATGAGAAGAGAAGACTCCCTGGAAAAGACCCTGATGTTGGGAAAGATGGAGGGCACAAGGAGAAGGGGACAACAGAGGATGAGATGGTTGGATAGTGTTCGCGAAGCTACAAACAGAAGTTTGACCAAACTGCAGGAGGCAGTGGAGGACAGAAGTGCCTGGCGTGCTCTGGTCCATGGGGTCACGAAGAGTCGGACACGACTAAACGACTAAACAACAACAACTTGGGTCCACCAATGTCAATGGTAAAATTTAGTTGGATACAACCAAAAGAACCCTCTATATACAGAGCAGGCAAATTACTTTTTTTTTTAAGGTCCAGGGAAAGTTGAACTTTGGATAAAACAATATAGAATAATGGGGATTTCCCCATTATTCCAACATTATGCCAACCCCAATTCTGTAAAGCCATAACCTCATAAATGTAGGTTATCTTAATAAGCATTCACAAATCCATCTCAGAAACACCAATGAAAACAAAAGCTGTTATCTTCTCTGCATCTTCTCTCTGAATTTGCAAAGTTGTGCAGATGGGACCATTTTCTTTTTTCCAGTTTAAACTCTACATGTTTTGATAAAACACTGGCAGTTTCATTATGAGGTGCCCTATTCATATCACAATTAATTAGGCTTATCTTTGCCCAGGAATGGGCCATTTTCAAAGGTACTGAAGCTCTCATATTTTGTCCATATCTCAAGAATATCATTTATTAGAGGCTGCAGTGCTTGGCTGAACTTTTCACCTGAGTTGATGGGAGGGTTTTGGATGACTTTCATGATCATCTCTTGTATCTCAGGAGTGAGACCGGCACGTTGTAAATTGACTGGGTAGCCAGCTTTCAAGGCTTGGGATAGATGTGTGCCAACCACAGTAAGAGGCAAAGACCGCTGGTCACTTATACTCTCCTGAGGAAACAAGAAAGACAGGAATCAGAAGAGCTACATTAAGCCTGGCCATCAAAACTTTATAGCTGAAAATACATTTCCCCAGAAAGAGAAATAGTTCTTTAGCAGTAGAGATAGTTCTTTGGCAATTTCTGGTTTGCTTCGCTATACTTTGCTTGGGAGTAGGAAAGGGAAGATAACTTGACACAGGGCTGCCATCTTAGCACCCTAAATAGCCTGTTAATAATATCTGGCAACAGAGAAAGTGAATGGACTCTTGGGGGCTATAAAACGCAATGACGATTGTAACCACTACTGAATATATCAGGCCAATGACCCACCAAGCCAAACACACCACACCCAGATATATACAGTGGGCGCTCGTGTTGTGAACGTGATCTGTACAGGAGGCAGGTTCGCAACCCGCAGCGCTGCGTCTGCGCACGCATGGGTTGCGATTCGGCGCTTCTGCGCATAGCATGATTTAGTGCTTTTGCGCATGCGCGAGTGCCAAAACCCGGAAGTAGCCTGTTCCGGTACTTCCGGGCTCGGCACAGTGCGCAACCCAAAAACGTGCAACCCGAAGCGTCTGTAACCCGAGGTATGACTGTATTGTGGTCTCTCCATACAGATATGTTTTGTGCTTGTGTTTTTACAGATTCAGGCAGGATGTGAAAAACCCCAGGTTTGCTGAGCTACCAGTGATGGCTGCAGATCACAAGTTGCTTGCACCTAATAATGCTGGAATGTTTTAAAAAAAAGGCTGAATGTTGAACTTAATTGTGTAATACTAGAGCAGTGGTGGCCAAACTTGGCCCTCCAGCTGTTTGGGGACTAGAATTCCCATCATCCCTGACCAGAGGTCCTGTTAGCTAGGGATGATGGGAGTTGTTGTCCCAAAACAGCAGGAGGGCCAACTTTGGCCATCACTGTTCTAGAGGGTAGATGCCTGTTGAAAAACTGTTCGGGCTATAAGTGAAACTATACACTACTAATAGCACTATTGAATATATTTAGATTCTGGTTAAAAAAACAACACTTTTCAGTACTGAACATCCTAAGCAGCCCCTTATGCGCCAACTACCTACACTTTGACAATTATATTCTTCCCATAAAGAGGACGGCTGTATGTTATGTTTGCTGACTTTCTCCCAGACAGGAGACACCAGGGTGCACCCTGTAATCAATGGTTATTTGATACAAGGCATCAAATTACCTAGTACTAATTGTATTATTGCTCCTTGTTAATTAGTCCTTGGGCATTTTAAATTGGTTGGCTATCTAACAAGGAACACTCCTGGGAGGAGGGAGTTGAGCAGGCAGCAAGCCCCCAGCATCACTGCACAGCAGCACTCTGTGACAAATAAGTGTAACAAAATAAGGTATAGGACTAAGTAGGGGGAAGGTCATGTTCAATGACAATTTTTGGCAGTGGTGAAAAATGCATCCCATATTGATTTTTATGCTGTTGGTGGATTATTGTCATTGTCTTGTTGGGCTGTGTATGTGATAAAGGGGAGCCATACCGGGGTAAAGGCGTCTTCTTCTGTTTGTCCCCGTGTCAGTTTCAGTTTATTGGTTAATTTTTCTAGCAGGGCTGTTTCCCATACTATTTGGTAGCATTGGTCCATGCTTACTCCTGACAGGTCTCTCCAGTGTCTGGTTATGGTGTTTCTGGCTGCTGAAAGTAGGTGGGTTATGAGTTCTTTGTGGTGTAAACGGGCATTGTTGTCTTGGAAGATGTTTAGTAGCGCCAATTCTGGGGTGATGTCTAATACTTGCTTAGTTATTTTACATACAGTGGTGCCTCGCAAGACGAAATTAATCCGTTCCATGAGTCTCTTTGTCTTGCGGTTTTTTCGTCTTGCGAAGCACGGCTATTAGCGGCTTAGCAGCTATTAGCGGCTTAGCGGCTATTAACGGCTTAGCGGCTTTAAGAAAAAGGAAACAAACTCGCAAGAACTCGCAAGACGTTTCGTCTTGCGAAGCAAGCCCATAGGGAAATTCGTCTTGCGAAGCACCTCAAAAAACGGAAAACTCTTTCGTCTAGCGAGTTTTTCGTCTTGCGAGGCATTCGTCTTGCGGGGCACCACTGTATTTCCCATATCGTTGTTCACCCACCCACACACGAAAACAAAGACCACCACAGCCAATCACAAACAACCACACCCTAACCCCAACCTCTCTCACACCAAAGGAACACAAGTGAACAGCAGAGAACCTGCACAAGCAACGCTGACACCAAACCCTACATACATTAAGCATCATAGAAACATCGCCACCCGACCCCACCCCCAACCATCTCCCCCCTCCACCCTTTTTCCCCCCCCCTAATGTCTCAACAAATGAAACGGATTTGTAAAAATGTTAAATGGAAAAAATGCGAGAGACACTACACATACTTCTGTAAAACAAGAAAATCTTCAATAAAAAAAAATTATGCATCCCACTAGCTGCACTTTTTGGGGGGCGGGCAAGAGAGGTTACTCTGAAAAGAAGAAAATATGCTCTTCCCTTTAAAATGAGAACAATGCTGATCCTAGAAAAAATGTTCTAACTTATGCTCAGCAACGTTGCCCCATAACCAAATCTGTACAGCCACACGGCATCATGTCTCCACCTTCGTGGCCTGATTGCCAGTTGGCTGGGATTGAACGTGTAAGATTGTTCCCAGGAAGAAGGCAGCAAAATAGCAGTAGAGAAGAAAACAACAACAGAGCAGTAAAGAAATGACAAAAAGAGAGTGGAGAATATAACATTATTTAGTGGGACTAGGGGAACAATTGCTTCCCTCCCCTTCAAAAACAAAGCGGATAAACATTTGGTGTGGCTTTAACAGAATATAGGTTTCAAACCCTTTTAAGAAACAGCAGTGAACAGTAAACACAACAAGAGTAGCACACTACCAAATGTATTTTGACACCCCTTAGAGGCAATTTTAGTTAAGTAGCATAGAAATTGCTGAATAAAATGAGCTTTCGTAGGCCACACTCCACTTTGTAGGCTGTATTAGTGGGCCCCAAACCAGAAAAACTTATGCCACAATAAACATGTTAGCCTTCTTTAAGTCTACTTTATTGTTTCTGCTACAACCATTGAACAAGACTTGCCAAACATTAAATGGTGCACTTCGGCCGTACAACCTAGGGTTTGTTATGGCTCTGTGCCTTTCTTTAAGTTGAGTAAAGCATTAATTGGTGAAGCTTTTCCTAATATGGAGTTTTAGTGTGAAGAAGTGCTTCACTAGTTAATTTCTGCCTGTTAAAGGTAAAGGGTCCCCTGACCATTCGGTCCAATCGTGACCGACTCTGGGGTTGCGGCGCTCATCTCGCTTTATTGGCCGAGGGAGCCAGCATACAGCTTCCGGGTCATGTGGCCAGCATGACTAAGCCACTTCTGGCGAACCACAGCAGCGCACAGAAACGCTGTTTACCTTCCCACCAGAGCAGTTCCTATTTATCTACTTGCACTTTGACGTGCTTTCGAACTGCTAGGTTGGCAGGAGCAGGGACCGAGCAATGGGAGCTCACCCCGTCACGGGGATTCGAACCGCTGACCTTCTGATTGGCAAGTCCTAGACTCTGTGGTTTAACCTACAGTGCCACCCGCGTTCCGCGTCTGCCTGTTAGGAAGTGATGAAAGGCACAGATATTTTGCCTACATAAAAAAATGTGGCAATTCTAGGACTATCCTAGTATAAGCCTGTTTTTTTAGAAAGTTACATTCCACTGCCTTTGGTGCGACAACCCCTCTCTCCATGTGTGGGAGCCAATTCCCTATATTTAGATCCTATGCAGCTGTGGTACATGTGCACTTATCACAACCAAGTTGGTGGGGCAGGTTGCATGGGTCTCCCTCATACAGCTGGCACCCTATCCAGTTCCAGTTTAAGGGCATGCATATAGAGGCCTTATACATCCAGATAAGCAGTGCTTAGAATTAAAACCTTGTTGAATCCTAACATTCTGCCACTCTGTTCCAAATACAGTGGTACCTCAGGTTACATACGCTTCAGGTTACAGACTCTGCTAACCCAGAAATAGTACCTCGGGTTAAGAACTTTACCTCAGGATGAGAACAGAAATCATGCTCTGGCAGCACAGCAGCAGCTGGAGGCCCCATTAGCTAAAGTGGTGCTTCAGGTTAAGAACAGTTTCAGGTTAAGAACGGACCTCCGGAACGAATTAAGTACGTAACCAGAGGTACCACTGTAAGTGTTCTCCCCAAGCCACAGAGCTCACTTGTGGCTTGCACTATGCATCAGCAGCAGCTGGTCTTACACCTTTCAATTTCACAAAATTAACCGAAATAGATCATAATCCTTCTAAAGCAGAGCAGCTATGAAACACAGCTGGAGCTTCAGGAGCTTACCAATGACATGCTCTTTTCCTGAAACAATGTGTAAGTTGTGCGTTCCGATTCTGTTAGAGTGCTGCATCCGCCATCCTTCTGAAGATCTATTTCTGGCTGATCTCTGGATCCAGAACTCTTGAAGACATCAATCTATACAACAACAAGCAAGCTTTTATTATTTTTAAAAAATCCTAAAACCTTCAAGGAAAACCACTAACTAAGCAAATGATGTTGATGGCTGAACACCGTCGGAAAGCTAACTATATTTTTCCAGATTAGACAATGTTTTACAGATAACCCAAAACAGTGACTAGGATTCAAAGAATTTTATGAAGCTATCTTCCACCTTACACTGTGCATTGGCTATATTCACATTTAAGAAATAATAATCACGAAAAAGGTACGTTTAGTGTCACTTTTGAGACTCTTTGAGCTAAGCAGTTCTATAATCCTGCAATGCTGATGGCTACCTATATGCCTCTGCAATGCCTGCATAAACTTGTTCCACATTCTATACTCATCTGGGACAGGACAAAAGGGAGAAAATACACTACTATGAAAAGCAGAGACTAGTGCCATGATGACTCTCAGGCCCCCAGAGGCCACAGCAGCAGCACCAACTCCCACCAATCGCTTGATTGTGTGGTGATGAGAGTCCAAGGTCAGCCAGCCGTGGAAGGCTCAAATCCATTCATTGCAATGGGCCTACCCTTGCCCTAGAAATTTGCATGGCAGAGACATCAGTGGCTTTCTGCTGACAAGTCAAAACAATCCTTTTTAAAGCCCTTTTGAACCCTAAGGAAATAAATGCAAGGGAGGGAAACCAGATACAGTACATTAATTCAATTACATCTGACCTGTAAATCATTTGCCTGGCAGAACTCCTTGATTGTGACCAGGAGAGGAGCCAGCATGGTAGATTTCACTTCCGAAACGCCATCAACTCTCTTCATGTTTTCCACAGTTGTAGGCCTGAAGGAAATATTGGAGACGTTCTGTAATATAACGCCATGAGCTTCGATACCTAAGGTGTATGCCGGTAAGTCTGGATTTTAACAAATAAAACCATACAAGCTACTACCATCACTGCTAACAATTTAGCCTCTGTAAGAGACCTTGAAAAATTCCTGAAGACTGTTTTCCTCAAGAGAGTCAGAACATGTAAGCAGGTGACAGGTTTTAAAACAGGTAATGAAATCTTCTAGACCAGTGCCATTTCTAAGTCATGAACAATATTCTGTGTTGATTCGCACATGCATGTTCATCATTTGATGACTCTGGAACACTTTACAACTCTCAACTGAATGTGTATATTACATAAAGATTATCTTAAGTGTGGCTGGTGTGGTTTGTGCACACATTCCCTGCTCCCTGTGTCCTAGCCTATTATGGTCTCTGGTCAAATAGATTCTGCTGGTTTTTGTAGCGCTTCAGCTCTGACTACTGTAAAGTGGGCAATGACAACCCATCCTCCCTGGAAACGACTCGTCTTGCTTGCATAAATTACTGTATTTTTCGCTCTATAGGACGCACTTTCCCCCCTCCAAAAATTAAGGGGAAATGTGTGTGCGTCCTATGGAGCGAATGCAGGCTCCTTGGCTTCAGTGATAGCAGCGCAAAGCCTGGAGAGCGAGAGTGGTTGGTGCGTACCGACCCCTCTCGCTCTCCAGGCTTCAGGGATAGCTGCCTGAAGCCTTTGAAGCACAGCGAGAACTCATGCTGTGCTCTGAAGATTTCGGGTTCCTTTTGCTGAAGCCGGGAGAGCAAGACTCTCCTGGCTTCAGCAGAGAGGGAGAGCTGCGCAGCGCCCCTTCAGCAAAGCGGGAGGAGAAATGGAAGGGGCTCCGTTTCTCCTGCCGCTTCGCTGAAGGGGCGCTGAGCAGAGAGGGGGAGAAATTTTTTTTCTTGTTCTCCCCCTCTAAAACAAGGTGCGTCCTATGGTCAGGTACATCCTATAGAGCGGAAAATACGGTATTAAGTCATCAGACAAGGTTTATCTTCTTATTCAAACCAAAATAAAGGCTTACCTTATCACGCTCATATCAACCAGCACTTTATTTGTTGCTAGTACAGCTGGAGGAATGTCCTTCTCATTCGCCAGTTTCTGACGGGCTGTCACTAGCTTGCCATATAGCATTGTCTATTAAAGGCAAAAGAAAACATGTGAAAGCTGTACTGTGATGCCTATGAGGGTCTCAGAGGATGAATGGGGATGTGTATGCCCTGAGTGAGTAAACCCAAAAGGTATGTGACTCTGAAGATAAACATGAAGATGAAGATAGGTAAAGTAAAGGTAAAGGGACCCCTGACCATTAGGTCCAGTCGTGACCGACTCTGGGGTTGCGGCGCTCATCTCGCTTTATTGGCTGAAGGAGCCGGCGTACAGCTTCCGGGTCATGTGGCCAGCATGACTAAGCCGCTTCTGGCGAACCAGAGCAGCGCATGGAAACACAGTTTACCTTCCCGCCAGAGCAGTACCTATTTATCTACTTGAACTTTGACGTGCTTTCGAACTGCTAGGTGGGCAGGAGCAGGGACCGAGCAACGAGAGCTCACCCCGTCGCGGGGATTCTAACCGCCGACCTTCTGATCGGCAAGTCCTAGGCTCTGTGGTTTAACGGATTGTTTGATTCTGAAGGAAACAAGAAAGATGGGCTGTTGAACTAGCAAATAGAATGTACAAAATAGGATGGACAAGCAGGATGTGCCAGATGCTTGGATGAGTTACAGGACATGCTGAGACAAGTCACCTCTGGGTTGACCCAGAGGAAGAGACGGGCTGTGGGGTTTTTTTATGTGCACGCCTGGCCCAGTAGACAGCAGCCACTGTTCTCAAAAGACAGGTTGGGACAAATAAATATTCATAACTATTTGGGGAATCAGAATGATGACAGCTATCATCTAGTCCAACCCCCTGCAATACAAGACAATGCAGGGATTGAACCTCAAACTATATAAAGGTAGGAAAGTCCCTGGCACAGTTGCGTTGCTGTCTGGCTGCAGAAGGAGCTGCCCAAAGACTCTTAAAAGAACCTGATCAATTACCGTATTTTTCGCTCTATATGGCGCACTTTTCCCCCTCCAAAAATTAAGGGGAAATGTGTGTGCATCCTATGGAGCGAATGCAGGCTCCTTGGCTTCAGCAATAGCAACGCAAAGCCTCCAAAGCACAGAGGGAGCGCTCCCTCCGTGCTCCGGAGGCTTTGCGTTGTTTTCGCTGAAGCCTGGAGAGTGAGAGGGGTCGGTGCACACCAACCCCTCTCGCTCTCCAGGCTTCTGGGATAGCCGTCTGAAGCCTTCGGAGCGCAACGCGAGTTCCCGCTGCGTTCCGGAGGCTTCAGGTTCCTTTCGCTGAAGCCAGGAGAGTCTTGCTCTCCCGGCTGAACCTGAAGCTTGCGGAGCGCAGCTGGAACTGGCGCTACGCTCCGATGGCTTCAGGCAGCCATCCCTGAAGCCTTCGGATCGCACCGCGAGTTCCCGCTGCGCTCCGCAGGCTTCGGGTTCCTTTTGCTCCGTTTTTCATGCTGCTTCGCTGAAGGGGCGGATGAGCAGAGAGCGGGGAGAATTTTTTTCCCTTGTTCTCCCCCTGTAAAACAAGGGTGCGTCCTATAGAGAGAAAAATATTTAGTGGGTCCACCCATCTAGTAGGTATGAATGAGAGGAGTGAATGAGTCCTTATTAATTATCATCTGTTCATAAATAAAAGGTTATAATTTGGGTAAAATTGTGCCATTTTGTCTTTCTCAAAATTGCTCTAATCTTGAAGAATCTGCTGTCACAAGTTTTGTGACAGTACGTTTGATAAACATGTTTACATGGAAGCAGACATACATTTATTGAAGTAACTGTTGATTAACAACATTTTGCCTAACTGTTAACAGGACCACTGATGTTTTTCTTTCTTTCTTTTTTAATGTTTCAGTATTTTAATACAAATACTTCAAAAATCCACAGGTACAAGACAGCATCTAAAATGGAGCCTTCTTTCTCACACACGAGCAAATGTCTCTTTGATGATGGCATGTACCATAACATGTGCCCGATCTAAATATGAAGAAATTGCACGTTCTTCTGATAATTTTTCTCCTATGCAAAACATACTGAGATGTATTTATTTACTGACATTTATAGAATACCCTTCACCATTACTTTGGGTTCTCAGTACAAGTTAGCCATGTAATACATAAACATTAATAGAAAAGGCAACACTACAATGGGAAGGGCATTCTGGTCTCATTCTCCACCCTTAAATGCTTGTGCAAAAAGCTGCATCTTGACCCAGCGTTAAAATGTATATACTGCTGAAGACAGATGCACATCAGACGACAGGACATTCTTCACTTCAGGAAACTTCATCATTATCTGCAACTCATAAAACTAATCCACTAAGATTTCTTTAATCAGGTGACAGCCCCAGTAAACATACCGTCATATAAGGCAGTGTTTCCCAACCGGTGTTCCGCGGCACACTAGTGTGCCGCGAGACGTTGCCTGGTGTGCCGCGAGATGTTGCCTGGAGGGAGGCGGGCGAGTCGGGCGGCGAGAGGCGGGGCGGCGGGCAGCTCGTAGAGGAAGCGCGACGCCCCGGGAGCAGCCATGGCCCCCCGGCCCCGACTGCCACTCTCCGCGCCACAGGCCCCGGGGAAGAGCGCTTCGCAGGACTTGCGGGCCAGGCGGAGCCACCTCGAGCGCCACCCAAGCGGGCGTCTCTATAGCGACGGACCCGCCTTTTCCGCTGCCCTCCCGCGCTGCTCTGGCTCCGCCTAGCGGCCCGAGGAGGAGCCGCGCAGCCTGTCGCTGCCGCCCCCGCGGAGCCTGAGGCGAAACGCGCAGGGGCCGCCGCCGCGCCGAAGCCTCCCTTCCGGGGTCCCCTCGGGGCCATTGGGCGGGGCTGTCGCCTCCTGGACGCCGCAGCCCCGAGCTCGTGGATGTAAACCGAGAGATGGACTTGCTTGGGAGGAAGTTCCGTTGTACCAGCGGGAGTTATTTCCTAGTAAATATGAAACACTTGGGGATATTAGGTTGAGACTGAGGGGAGCGTGGCTGGTAGCCCGAAACATCCGGAGGGCGCAGGGCTGGCGAAGGCTGGGGGAGCACGAGACTTCGACAGTCTTTTCAGTATGTTACAACATAAAACTGCTGGAGCAAGTTAACATATTTTGTTACCTTGTGCATTAAAAGGACCGTATGTAAGAATATAAGTGGGTTTGCTTCGTTCCATAGGATTCACACCTCAGAGTGCAATGGCAGGCAGATCTTAGAGCCAGCTTCTGTCTATGTATCTGAAACCTGTTCTGCCCCCTCCCCCACACTTGGTGCCATTTTCATCTACACATGCAGCAGAGTAAGTTGACCCAGAATAGTACCAATTCAGATGGCAGATGGGAGAATGACAGTGCTGAATGCTTTCCCATGTAGAACAGTCCCTGCAAATAAAAACCTAGCATATTTGAAAGAGGGATGCTAGCCTAACCATTACCTTCTATGCTGTTACTATTTTTTTATTTTTTTTTACATAAGTAAAAAGTGACCTTTCCCCATCTGGCATGGTGGTGTGCCTCGAGATTTTTTTCATGAAACAAGTGTGCCTTTGCCCAAAAAAGGTTGGGAAACACTGATATAAGGAATCACTTCAGTTGACGTACTCACCTGCAATTCCTTCTCTCTTAGAGATGCAGCAGATTCTGTAGGGGTCAGAAGCCGTGACAACTGTGCTGTGGCACTATCAAAAGAAAGGAGGCAAGTGGTCTAACTTCAATTCAGCCCGTTTATCCAGCAACTGACACAAAAATCCCTGCACCTTTTCCTTGAAATATCCAGGAAATATCCTTGGCGATAGGCGATATATTGATACATTGCCCCAAACTGGTTTGAAGTCTATATGATGATCTCGGTTTCATAATTTCTGACGTGGCAATATACTGCAAATCAGGGTGTATGTGTGTGTGTGTGTGTGTGTGTGTTATGCAAAAATCACAATGTGGGGGAAACTGTGAAGCCAGCTAATGTTTCTCTCAATTCCTGCAGCTCCTGTTAACTCTTCCAGCTCAGCTCCCCCCGCCTGATGCAGGGGGCAGAGAATCGCAAGAGCAGGCGCTGTCAAAAATCACGAGGCAGGAAAAACCGTGAAGCCAGCCAATGCCTCTACACAGCTCCATCCTTATTTCACACATCGTGATATATCAATCTGTTGCAATGTTTAGCTGGTGATATATCGTGATGTTGAAAACCAGATACTGCCCAGCCTTCCTTGGAAAGTTTTACCAATGGGTGAATCCAGAACCCACTGTACTGTGTCATCCATGGACGACAAAGCTCCAGCACAGCTGCCACTAGCAGCAAAGGGAGGGGGTGTTTGTGGAACATGTGGACAGGAGCAGGAATGTCCATAAGCCTGACTTTGGTGTCAGTTCAGGCCTGCATGACTAGCTATGTATTTCATGGTTATGCAGCTATTCCCCCACCCAGCAGTCTACATGCAAGCGCAGGCAAAAGGCAGGTTGCCGGATGAATTGCAGTGGATTGCATGTTTCTGATTCCCAATCATTTATCAATAGCAACAACCAAAAGGCTCCCCCACCCCCAAAATAGTCTGTTAGAATCCCTGTTCCGTAGTAACTCAGATATGGCTAAAAAACCATATCTTGTATATGCAGATAATCCCAGTTCATGTGGTACAGTATGCAATTGGCCTCTTTACCCATATTTTGCACCTGGCTGCAGTTGGTGGATTTTGTAGTTCACACACACACACACACACACACACACACACACACACAATCTCTCACTAAGCTAAAGCGTGCCCACACTTAGATTAAAACAACTATTGCACAAAAGGCTGTATTTTCATTAGAACTGAAGATTTGATCAAGTTTTAGTTATTTAATCAGTGATGATGACGGCAGACCTGCATGTTGATGAATATTTAGGCCAAGTTGATTCTGTTATGCTGCTGTAATAGGAATTAGAAAAATATTGATTTTCCATCTAACAACGAGTGGGTTTTTGCTTATTCAACTGTAGTCTTACACACCCTTCAGTCGTTTGCCAATGCATCTGTATTGTGCTTTGGCTAATGTGGTAATTTAGTCATCAATTAATCATTTTATGGGTGGATGATTAAAGAACCAAAAACTCTTAAAATGATTGACATTACTAATTGTAGCAACAAAGAAAGGCACTTTTGTAACTGTATTGTCCCACTTACAGCGGCTGACCCAACCAACATTCTCTAAAGAGACCATAGGAAGACTAGATGGAAAAAGGAGATCTAAAAAGAAAGGGGGGGGGAGAAGGTAGATAATCTTTGGAAGTATTACCTTTTAGCCGAGGATGAACTTTCTCTAGAGACTTTACTCGCTTCTCGATACGAAAACTTTTCATGCAAAGACATCTTCAGGAATACAAAATCCCAAAGCAGAAAATGAATACAAACGCAAAAATTTACTTTGAATAAATATTTATAGTAAAATACTCAAAATAATATCAGTAATTTGATAATGTGTTAACGGAATGCATCTCGTTTCAGAAAAACATTTTAGATTCCACTCCTGTAAACTCTCATGGAGATCTGAAGACAGGAGAATATAAAATGTATCCTGAGATGATTACTTGACTTCACCTGCCTAAGGTCTATTATGTATATATCTTATGTATTTATTTCAGTTGTGACTAATACACTTTTATTAAAGTCTTGGTATCTTACTTTATTCTATTATAGTCTATGGACTAATGGAATAAACATTATTCATTCAATCAATAAATCTTTTAATTTTGCAGTATCCAAGAAATCTTTAAAACAATATAGAATTCTAAGGCTTCATTTCCAAGTCCCTTTTGAAACACCTTTCATGAGAGAAGCATGAGCAGACACAGATCTCATTTGTGCATATTGCTAAGGGAAACCATGATTTGGTGCAAACATTCAGACAAGCCACAGCAGCTTAGCATGTCCTTCAAACCCATTTCTCTCTCACACAAACCACAAGCTGAAAAACCAAAGGACAAACCTTGGTGGCAGCTCATGGCTTATCTGAAGGAGTTAAACCACACACCCAGATTCAGACAACATGCTAAGCGAAACCATAGAGTTACCTAAGCTGTGTTTTGGAAGTGAGAATGGAATGTGTTAGGGAAGTGAGAGCTGAACCATCAAGAAGGCTGATCGCCAAAGAATTGATACTTTTGAATTATGGTGCTGGAGGAGACTCTTGAGAGTCCCATGGACTGCAATAAGATCAAACCTCTCCATTCTTAAGGAAATCAGCCCTGAGTGCTCACTGGAAGGACAGATCCTGAAGCTGAGGCTCCAATACTTTGGCCACCTCATGAGAAGAGAAGACTCCCTGGAAAAGACCCTGATGTTGGAAAAGATGGAGGGCACAAGGAGAAGGGGACGACAGAGGAAGAGATGGTTGGACAGTGTTCTCGAAGCCAGCATGAGTTTGGTCAAACTGTGGGAGGCAGTGGAAGACAGGAGTGCCTGGCCTGCTCTGGTCCATGGGGTCACGAAGAGGCGGACACAACTAAACGACTAAACAACAACAACACAGCTGTGTTTTGTCTGCCTGAGAACCATGCTTCGTAGAACTGCTGCACTAACTTGAGAAGTCACCATAGAATATGCCCAACATTTCACGGGGCTCCATATCAGTAGGAAAAATTAACAGTGGTATGCAAGCTCACTTTTAGCCAAGCTAACACCCATTGCTGTGCAATCATCACATGTACAGCAACTCCAGAGCAAGGAAATATGTGCCCAGGAACTGGGCAGATAGGCTTGATCCTGCCACCCTATCATATATAGCAGGTGTGCTGAACCTGTAGTTCTCCAAATGTTGTTGGACTCCAGCTCTCATTAGCCACAGCCAGGATAGCCAATAATCAGGAATGATGGGAGTTGCATTCTGTTACGGAAATTCCGGGGGGGGGCACATCTTTAAAGTTAAATATTACAAATATTATGCCTGAATGTATCCTTTCAACTTGACAGCTCAGGGAAGTTACCTAGCTTTAAAAATAACATTAGATCATCTCCTTTCCCAGTTTCCTCCATTCCAAAGCTATTTTCCCCTTGAAAAAGGACTCCAGCAAGTTCCCAGAGGTGACAATTGCTGGGCTCATTGTTAGCCAAAGGAAGCCAAATCTCATCACCTGACTTGCCTCAGGCTCCAGACATGCAAAGGAAGTACTTTTGGGTGGTGGGTACGTAAGACAAATTTGTCTATGCTAATCTTATACCTGAGTCTTGCCCTGCCATGTCTGCTTATGCTAATCTTGTACCATGGACTTGTCTGGGCATGTTTGCCAAGGTTAACCCCTCCCCTTTTGTGACATGTCAGTGATGTAGCAATGATGCTATACGAACTGTATCCTGGGATATGGTGGGAAAGTTTTAAAAGTCTTTGTCACCTCATCCTTGGGGTTCAAATTTGCTCTTTGAACCTATTGCGCAATAAACTTTGGTCTACAGCTATTTGCTCCGGTTGGCTGGAATCCTTCCTTTATTCCGCTGGGACCCGCGGGCTCTGCCCGACGAGCTGGGTGGAAGGCAACAGTTTGGCCATGCCTGACAGATAGCCTGACCAGATCACTGCCTTTGACTAGAAGGCAAGAAGCGATGAAAAAGTGCTGGTTTCTACCATACAGACCTGCTTTTCTGTTGTCAACTGAGGTAACGTTCTATAGGAGGAATGTCTGGTGTTCGAAGAGGTCGGCTGATAGCTGGAAAGAGAAGGGAAATTATCTCAGCCTTATTGATAGCAAAAACTATTCCAACAGCAAGATGCACAGCCAAGTCTTCAAAAATTACCGTATATTTTGCTCTATAAGACTCACTTTTTCCCTCCTAAAAAGTAAGAGGAAATGTGTGCGCGTCTTATGGAGTGAATGCAGGCTGCGCAGCTATCCCAGAAGCCAGAACAGCAAGAGGGATTGCTGCTTTCACTGCGCAGCGATCCCTCTTGCTGTTCTGGCTTCTGAGATTCAGAATATTTTTTTTCTTGTTTTCCTCCTCCAAGAACTAGGTGTGTCTTGTGGTCTGGTGCGTCTTACAGAGTGAAAAATACGGTGCTTTTGCAGAATGCAAAGTCACAAATGTTAATGATTTCAAAGTGCAGCTTCTCTTGACTTTCAGGCCAATCTCTAAGGCAGTGGAGTTCAGCTCTCTGAAAACTGAGGCACTCCTGTAGTATATCACCATATCCCGTGAAACCTAGCCACTTTTCCCTGTCTGCCACCAACCTGCCATATTTTTTTCTTCACCGCTTTGCTCTAATAGTAAGGTTAATCCTTACATTCTAGAAGACAATTTCAATACTTTCCACCTACCATACAAACCTGAACAAAACAAACAATGACACATGCCCTTATTTTGTCAAACAGAGGACTCAATTTGAACAATCAGCACAGAAAGGTTTAAAGTGGGAGATGGCAATCTTAAATCGTGGTCACATTTGAAAACCGGAGAAACCGTCGTGGGTACCACACACAACATAACCTCCTATCCTGATGTAACAGAAAACTCCATTCAATCTCAACTTTGGGGGGGGACAGAAATTCTGTGGCTGCCAATAAAGGCCTCTGCAGATATGTGTGTGCCCATGAGAGTTATGCTGGCATCCGCTAGTTTAGGGCCATGAGACTGCACGAGGCCGCACTAGTGTTTGTCCTTTTTCTACACCAGTACCAGTGGGACGTGAGTGGTGCTGTGGGTTAAACCACAGAGCCTAGGAGTTGCCGATCAGAAGGTCGGCGGTTCGAATCCCCATAACGGGGTGAACTCCCGTTGCTCGGTCCCTGCTCCTGCCAACCTAGCAGTTCGAAAGCACACCAAAGTGCAAGTAAATAGGTCCCGCTCCAGTGGGAAGGTAAACGGCGTTTCCGTGCACTGCTCTGGTTCGCCAGAAGTGGCTTAGTCATGCTGGCCACATGACCCAGAAGCTGTACGCCGGCTCCCTCGGTTAGTAAAGTGAGATGAGCGCCGGAACCCCAGAGTCGGCCACGACTGGACCTAATGGTCAGGGGTCCCTTTACCTTTACCTTACCAACAATAGAGTTCCATTTTGTTTTTGTTATTTAAAATCACTTTTATTAATTTTCCAATAAAAACATCCAATTAAGATATCCAATCATAATATTCCAATTAAAATAGAATAAAAAACTAAAATAAAATAAATATTTTTATTTATTATAATAGAGTTCCATTTTGAAGCTCCCAGGTGAAAGCTGGGAGGGTCCATTCCTTTCTGTGTGAGACAAGGGTTAAGATCTACCTTTGAGAGAGAACTTTGTATTTTCTTTCTTTCTCTTTCTTTCTTTCTATTTTCATTTAGATAAGTTTTTTTATTGTATTATGAAAAAGCTTCCATTTTTTAAATGAAAAAACCAAACCAAACCAAAACAAAACAATGTTCCATTTCAACAGGTGAGGTTTCAAAATGATCCAGACCTAAAGTTTGGCAGCCTGAAAGCACTTACACAAATAAGCATTGTTAACTTCAGTACTTAGACAGGCCATGGTTACCTTAAAGGAGACTTCCTTAAGTTCAGTTCCTCATTAGGCTGCAGCAGAAGCTTCTGTCCTGACTCCTTTCTTGCTTTACAGAGCCAGTCTTTACCCTGAGACAGACGAAACAAACTATGGCTCAATATGGTGCTGCCAAAACAATCCATCAACAGAGCACCTTCTTTAGTTGCAAACTTACCGTCTGCGTCAGCTTGCACTTGGTTGTAAATTTGCGTTGGCCAGAAACCTCTATAAGAAAGCCCTCTAAGATCAGTTGCCGGCCTAGAGACTTCCACCAGTTCTCTGGCCAGTCCTTCCCACTTCCGAAGAGAGGATGACTTCGGTATTGTTCTGGGAGGCGTTCAGAATACTGAAATTAAAAAAGGAAGAAGCCAGAAATGCAATTAAAATCTGAAGAACCGTTTCAGATGTCCCCTGGACTTCCCATTCCTGCAGAGGACCACTACTTCAGAAGTACTGTATTTTTTGCTCTATAAGACTCACTTTCCCCCTCCTAAAAAGTAAGGGGAAATGTGTGTGCGTCTTATGGAGCAAATGCAGGCTGTGCAGCTACCCCAGAAGCCAGAACAGCAAGAGGGATCGCTGATTTCACTGCGCAGCAATCCCTCTTGTTGTTCTGGCTTCTGAGATTCAGAATAATTTTTTTCTTGTTTTCCTCCTCCAAAAACTAGTTGTGTCTTGTGGGCTGGTGCGTCTTATAGAGCAAAAAATATGGTGCCTTCACATCGTTCTCAAGTAGAAGATGCTCACATAAATGGCTGGGCGATATCTGGTTTTCAACACTGAGCTATGTCACCAGATAAACATAGCGATATACCAATATATGGCAATGTCCGAAATAAGGATAGAGCATTGGATGGCTTCATGGTTTTTCCTTATCGTGATTTTTGCCTCCTACTCTTGTGATTTGCTGCCCCTGCAGGAGGCAGAAGAAAGCTGAGCCAGCAGAGTTAACAAGAGAAGCGTTGGCTTGCTTCACGGTTTTCCCTGCATTGTGTTTTTTGCATAATGTGTGCGTGCACACACCTTGATTTGCAATATATTGCCAGGTCAAAAATTATGAAACCAACATCACGATATGGACTCCAAACGGGTTTTGGACAATATATTGATATACTGCCCACCTCTACTTATGTAAAGACAGCTCTTTTCAGCATAGCTGCATTGTGCAGGAGGAAACCATTCTACTGGGATTGTACTGGGGTGGGAAAAACACATAGTAACACCTTATCAGACTGTATGTGACTGCAAGCGTATTTCCATCCACACGTATCATTTTTTTTTATTGAAAAACAGGTGATTCACTATAGGATTGCTATGTCCACTTCCAGACTGTTGCTATCTTGCGGGTGGGGTTCAATCGCATGCCTACAAATTCAGATTGTGCAATTTAAGTGGATTTAATGTTCTTGTTGAACAGAGTAACTTTTGAAAAATGAACTTTTTGCAGTAAGGAAAGTAAAGGAATAAGAAAATGCACTGGAAAGAGCAGGATAACCATTACTTAACACCTTGTTGTATAACCTCCCTGTAAACATATCAGAATCAATGATCAATAAGCAGCGGATGCTGCATAGCTTCCAGTTGTGCAAATGAATCAGGATGAATGTTCAACAAATACAAGTATATACCGTATTTTTTGCTCTATAAGACTCACTTCCCCCCCTAAAAAGTAAGGGAAAATGTATGTGCGTCTTATGGAGCAAATGCAGGCTGTGCAGCTATCACAGAAGCCAGAACAGGAAGAAGGATTGCTGCTTTCGCTGCGCAGCGATCCCTCTTGCTGTTCTGACTTCTGAGATTGAGAATATATTTTTCTTGTTTTCCTCCTCCAAGAACTAGGTGCGTCTTGTGGTCTTGTGCATCTTATAGAGCAAAAAATACGGTAGGTTTCTTCTGAAAAACCCAAGTCACACTTTTCAGTAAGGCACTTTTGCTGGAGATTATCTCATGGTGTTTGGGAGGCTGGTACAAATGCAAAACTGGCATGAGATTAGACATGCTTCCCCACACCTCCTCACTTTTGGAGCATGAAATCTCACCCACACTGCAAACCTAATTATAGGAATACAGTGTTGTTGCATTGACATTGGTGCTCAGTGCCATTTAGCACAGGGTCTAAGACTCTTATTTTCAGCCTTGGTTAGGAGATAGCAGCAGGGATTATTTTTCAGTGCCAGCTCAAGTCTGTCGTGTTTGTTTAGGCGTCTAGTGGTTTTTAGTTGCTGTTTTTTTTTCTATTAAGCTGTTCCCCGTGACCTTATTTCATATGTTTTAAACTAACTTTTTTGTGAGACCCTGAAAGGGTCAACCATAGATCCCTTAAATAAACAATCAATCTTGAGATTAAAATGCAAGAAAAAAATATTGCTGAAGTCTAACAAGCATCAAAATAACATCAGCCGCTATATTTTAAAGTTCCGCACTTTTCTTTGTTTTAACAGGGGTAGTATAAGATTTCATTCAAGGCAACTTCTTAATTTGAAGATTCCCAGGAGGTCTTGTTCACCACGGAAGACTGACTCAAATTTCAAACAACAGGTGAAATCTGATCTCTCTTGTGACCCACCTGAAACCTGTCTAGGAGCACACCTGTGCATATTGCTACCAAAAGAGTCTACCAGGCTGAACAAAACTGAGGATAACACAACTCTTCATAAACTATGGGTGAATGTTGTATAAGGTAAACAATGAATATTCATAGGGCGCGATTGGTAAAAGGTATTTCCAACCGTAAACACTTTTAAACCCCAAAAGCTGCTGAATTAAGTTTACAACCAGAACAAAACTTGATTAGAATTAACATTCAGCTTTCACAACAAGCTCTGAAAATAATCAAGAACAATTAGAGAACACAGACACCAGTCGCAAGAAGTCAATAAAAGAAGCCCCTTAGTGCAAGTGATGGGAAATTTTCTGATGCATTCTAAACTCAAGTGTACAAATGTGAACTGCATATAATCTTTTGAGGGCCCCTCCTAAGGCATTTTCTGGTTTGCTGCTGAACTTTCTGCAGTCCACAGAAAACTAAAATAGCAGCCTACAGAGGGAAAGACTGGTCTTCCAGATTGAGTAGGTGGCAGAAGGACAGACAGTTAAGCACTGGAAACTGCAAGGGGCGAGAAGGTTGCTGTGCATGGGTTCTGCTTCCAAGTTTCCCAGAGGCATCTCGTTGGCCACTGGAAGAACAAGATGCTGGACTATATGGACCACTGGCCTGATCCAGCAGGCTTTTCTTATGCTCTTAACTCTCGTGTCAAGATAAAGCCAACTGGAAGCACAACTCCCCCCACCCCGGCCACATAATATGCACCTAGGATCCAAGGCACCCTTGCAGTCGTTTGGTGTCCAAACCCCCACTCTCAGCAATGAAATGCTTTTTAGAAAACACACAGTTAAAATCCACTCCAGTGCTCTTGAACTGGTGTAACCAAGTAAAAACAGAATTTATAATACAAGTAAAATGCTAATGTTTTCCTATTTCGAAAAACTGTGGGGATAGAATGGACCCCATACAGTAGGGATGTCCAACCAGTCGACCGTGATTGACAGGTCGACCCCCGGGTGATAGCCGTCAGTTGTGGGCTCATTTTTGTCCACGGTGGAAAAATAACTGTAGCCCCCTCACTCTGTCCTTCATTCACGCAGGATAGGTAAAAAGAAGACGGAGTTATCACTGCTCGTTTGATTTGTTGCTAGTGATTTATGACCTGCCCCCCCCCAAAAAAAAACAGCTTAGGACTACCCCCCTAAAAAAAGCTCAACAACTCTGAACTCTCCCCCCCCCAAAAAAAAATGGGTAGACCACTGCCAATTTTTTATTCTGGGAGTAGATCGCAGTCTCTTGGGAGTTTGACATCCCTGCCATATAGTTTAGGCAACTAACAGTTTTACTTTCTCATCCACTTCAATACAGTGGTACCTCTGGATACGAACGGGATTCGTTCCGGAGCCCCGTTCACATCCAGAAGCAAACGTATTTAGCGACGGCACGTCTGCGCGCGTCGCTTTTCGCCGCTTCTGGCATGCGCGTGATGTCATTTTGAGCGTCTGCGCACGCGGCGAAATCCAGAAGTAATTACTTCCGGGTTGCTGCGGAGTGCAACTTGAACACGCTCAACATGAAGCATATTCAACCCGAGGTATGACTGTAGCAGTATTTCGAAACCCTGATAGATTGGTAAGTCAAACGAGCAGACTCTAAAAAGTGTTGAGAAGTGCTGAATAACAGTTTAACAGACTTTTTCAAACAGCTCCTGGGACCTAGAGTAACTACATTATCCCTCCTATGGTAGAATCATAAAATCATAGAATCATAGAGTTGGAATAGACCACAAGGGCCATCGAGTCCAACCCCCTGCCAAGCAGGAAACACCATCAGAGCACTCCTGACATATGGTTGTCAAGCCTCTGCTTAAAGACCTCCAAAGAAGGAGACTCCACCACACTCCTTGGCAGCAAATTCCACTGTCGAACAGCTCTTACTGGTAATATTTCCCCTAAAACATACCAAACCTGCCTATATTGACATGTTATTATTGGTTTGGGGTTTTTTTGCCTGCAGGGTGTATTTCCCCCCACAGAAGGGATTTAACATCCTGAACTGCAGCCAGAACTAGTTCAGTCCAGGAAAAGCTTTACCACTTCATTCTGCTGCTAAAGAAACTGGCCCTTATTATATTGAAGTTACAGGTGGTCAAGCTGAGGCAGAAAGAGTGGCTTGCTTTTAGGCACCTACAGCTGAGATTTGAACCAGGGAATTCTTGGCCCGCAGCTCACGCTCTAACCACTGCACAAAAGCAGCTCTCCTACATGACACATGGTCCCCAGCAAAGCACACATAAGCTTCACAAATGCATCACTGTTAAAGCGAGAAATTACCGAATTTTTCTGTCTATAAGATGCCCCCTATTTTTGGGGACTCCGATTTAAAAAAATGGGGGAAGATCTATCCGTGTATAAGATGCCCCCAAATTTTGGACATTGTTTTTTAGGGGAAAACCCTAGTCTTATACATGGAAAAATATGGTAAGTCTTTCCTCCCAAAGTGCTGCACATCAGCCAGTTAAGATTCAGACCTTTCTTCCTACACATTTCTATCAAGGAATGTGTTTCTAACAGATTTGTTTTTAACTCCTGTTGCATTAAAAGATTTAAAAACAAAAGGTTTGAAGCGATATCTGGATGTAATAAGCAAACAATTAGAAGTCTACACACTGTCTCTTAAAAAAAAAAAACATAGCCTTTCAGTTTCTGTACAAAAGAACAGAGCTTCCTTTTCTTCAAGTTTGGGACGGTCTTCAATGAGAACCAGAAGGCACAGGAAAAACACCTCTCCCTCCTTCCCTCCTACACACACAGACAGCCAAAAGGATTAAAGAGCTGTTAACAAACCACCCCATAAGCTGTAACACTTACAGATCCTCTGAGAAACAGGACTGGGACTCCCATGCCAAACCTCTCGTTTAAAGCACATACTGCAGACATCAACTGGTATGCTTGCCGGGCCAAAATCCTGCAAACTCTCTTCTGTATTGACCACATGAGTACGTTGAATGTTCCTAAAAGCACAGGAACAAAAGTAAGGTTTGTGTAATATGTATAAAACAACAACAGAGGTGAAAAAGTGTGTGCGTGTGTGTGCCATGAGAGCACACAGAGAGAGCAAATTCTGGTGGGGAACCTGTAGCCCTCCAGATGTCACTGGTCTGCAACTCCCATCAGTACAGCCAGGACAGCCAATGGTGAGGCATGATGGGAACTGTAGTCCAGCAATATCGGGCCAGTCACCAGTTAACCACCCTTGCCAGTGTGGTGTAGTGGTTAAGAGCGGTAGATTCGTAATCTGGGGAACCGGGTTCGCGTCTCCGCTCCTCCACATGCAGCTGCTGGGTGACCTTGGGCTAGTCACACTTCTCTGAAGTCTCTCAGCCCTACTCACCTCACAGAGTGTTTGTTGTGGGGGAGGAAGGGAAAGGAGATTGTTAGCTGCTTTGAGACTCCTTCGGGTAGTGATAAAGTGGGATATCAAATCCAAACTCTTCTTCTTCTTCTTGCTCTAGGCCAGGAGTCCTCAAACTTGGCCCACCAGATGTTTTGGGACTACAACTCCCATCATCCCTAGTTAACAGGGCCAGTAGTCAGGGATGATGGGAATTGTAGTCTCAAAACATCTGGAGGGCCAAGTTTGAGGAAGCCTGCTCTAGGTTTCTCAAACTTGGGTGCCCAGCTGTTGCTGGACTACAACTCCCATCATCCCTGACTGCTGGTTTGCCCTCACTTCCCCCAATCTCCCATGTCTCTCCTAACTGGCATGCAACAAAATGGATGCAGCACCTCTGTACATAAAGCTGTGTCCCTGGAATGTAAGCCCCCCCCCATCATAATGCCGATCGCCTGATAGGAATGATCAGCATCACATCCCGCATGCCACGAGTGCTCAGGTCTGTGGCTCAGGTGTGAACCAACAGGGTTCGAAAAGAGGAATTGCTACAGCAATGGAGATGTGAGCAGAGGCGTTGTCATCCTCGGTCCAAAAGGAACTTCCATCCCTTCTCCACAACTCGCCTTAGACCACACGGTCAGGCAAACTTCAGATTCTGCTGTAGAACAGGGGTGGGTGGGCATAAAGTCCATAGATTTCTAGGGACGGGGAAAGTTACAGATGGGTAGCCGTGTTGGTCTGCCATAGTCAAAACAAAAAAATTCCTTCCAGTAGCACCTTAAAGACCAACTAAGTTAGTTCTTCAGAAGTGTGCATGCACACGAAAGCTCATACAAGAACTAACTTAGTTGGTCTTTAAGGTGCTACTGGAAGGAATTTTTTTGTTTTGACTAGGGACGGGGAAAGTACTTGCCAAAACGGGGCATGCAAGAATACAGTCAGGCAATCTGTTGCCATGATGCGAATCCTTAGAGCATTTGCATTGTGTCTTAAACTATAATATTCCTACCGTTCAAGCTACATGACCGAGCAAATAAAGCAAAACAAAGAGGTTCAGCTCTCTGTGTAGCTTCTCCACCACTACAGTGGTACCTCGGGTTACATATGCTTCAGGTTACATACGCTTCAGGTTACAGACTCTGCTAACCCAGAAATAGTACCTCAGGTTAAGAACTTTGCTTCAGGATGAGAACAGAAATCGGGCTCTGGTGGCGCAGCGGCAGCAGGAGGCCCCATTAGCTAAAGTGGTGCTTCAGGTTAAGAACAGTTTCAGGTTAAGTACGGACCTCCGGAACGAATTAAGTACTTAACCCGAGGTACCACTGTATACAATTTTATTTATACAGTCATAGCTCGGGTTGTGAACGCTGCGGGTTGCGTGTTTTCGGGTTATGGACCGCGCCTAACTGTACTGGAACGGGTTACTTCCAGGTTTCAGCGCTCGTGCATAAACGCTAAATCGCACTTTGTGCATGCGCAGAAGCACGTCACATGCGTGCGCAGATGCTACGCTGTGGGTTGCGAACGTGCCTCCTGCACGGATCACGTTCGCAACCCGAGGTTCCACTGTAAATACGGATGGCTGGGGAGGGTGGGGAAAGAACAGCAATTAAAACACAGGCATGAAGCAAGGCAGGGGAGCCAACCTTTATTGCACATCAGCCATAAATCAAGTCTGAAGTATGAGCTAGTGATGCTTGGGTGTGCACAAGAGTACAGTACACAGCTCCTTCTCCTTAGATCCCTGGCTGCAGTTGTGCCTGTAGTCTAAGGCCATGCTGCAGGAGGCTGGGGTGTGGGGGGACGGACAAGCAGGAGTATAAGCCTGTCTTTGTGTCATATTACCAGGCCTGCAAGACCACCTGACTAGTGTCCAGATGTGGCCTTTGCCAGTGCAGGCTGGTCAACCATGAACTATGGAAGAGGCCCTGGTTAGGTCAAGGAATTTAGGATATAAGATTTACCATATTTTTTGTTCTATAAGATGCACCAGACCACAAGACACACCTAGTTTTTGGAGGAGGAAAACAAGAAAAAAAATATTCTGAATCCCAGAAGCCAGAACAGCAAGAGGGATCACTGCACAGCGAAAGCAGCGATCCCTCTTGCTGTTCTGGCTTCTGGGATAGCTGCGCAGCCTGCATTCGCTCCATAAGACGCACACACATTTCCCCTTACTTTTTAGGAGGGAAAAGGTGAGTCTTAGAGAGCAAAAAATACGGTAATATTTGCCTTCACAACTTGAGCTCAGTGCCCACAGTCGTTCTCCGACATAAATTCAAAGAAGAACTTTTCATTTTTATTACTTGGCTTTTTAAGGGTGGATTTTAAATTTGAAACTAAAGCCATAATCCTGCGAGTTAGCTTTTGACTGGGAATTGCAGGATGGCATCTTGTACCGTTTACCCTAAAAGTAACAACATTTGAAGAAAACTTCATTAACAGAGAGCCATTAGAGACTTATTGCTGCTTGTCATTTAAGCTGTGGGAAGACAGTTCCAAACCTTTAATCTTTTGGGAGGAACATTTACCTGGATCTGCAATTATCGCAACATTTTTCTGTTCCCATGATACCCGATGAGGCCTTTCGGAGTTGTTTGTCTTCAAAATGTGACAAAATGATTCTACCCAAGAGAACATTGGGAATTAAATAAAAGAACAAGAATTTACATGTTAAATTCATTGAAGAAAACAATGAGCAGAAATCACCATCATTAATTGGTTCACCTGGGAGCTAATTTATCTTGCTTGAATCATCCCGAGACAGGCATCTATATTTTTTTCAAAGTATGAGCTTCAAGGTGCAAATACAAAAACGTACCAGAATGCAAGCGGCACTTTTCAAAACTTTGAAAGATTTTCATTGAGCTGTGTTGACAGCTCCTGATTGTTACTTGCTAAAATATAAAGTATAACACGTACTTTCTCCTGCAGCTATTCAAGCTGAGGTATTTCTCAATCTTTGCCATCATCTTCAGTTTGTACAGGCGAAATTTATCATTACGTATCTCATTGAGTAGGTGTCTTAAAAAGAAAGTGGGGGAGAGAAGAAGAAAATTAGAGATGAAACGTTCATTATCTCCCTGTCACCTTCCAAGAAAATATAAAATTTGCACAAACATCCTACACACATACTTTTCATGCAATATAAATCGGTCATAGCTATAAACGGAGCAAGAAATGAAGAGCAAGGAAACGCACACTGAAATTTCATATTGTCATCGTCCATATATTGCCATGTTGACATGATTTCTCTAGTTATATGCAGATACAGTGGTACCTCAGGTTACATACGCTTCAGGTTACAGACTCTGCTAACCCAGAAATAGTGCTTCAGGTTAAGAACTTTGCTTCAGGATGGGAACAGAAATCGGGCTCCGGCGGCACGGCAGCAGCTGGAGGCCCCATTAGCTAAAGTGGTGCTTCAGGTTAAGAACAGTTTCAGGTTAAGAACGGACCTCCGGAACGAATTAAGTACTTAACCTGATGTACCACTGTATTCTGTCTATATAAAACAGACTGACACCATAGACAGAAACTGCAGTCTGACTGGGCAAAGTAACATTAAAAACAATGATATCACAATTTTATAACACATCTCAAGCATATAAAGTGTTTCACATACACTGGGTGGGATTCAACTATGTGTTGTGTGTGTGTGGAATTAGGCCCACTTGCCCAACAGGACTCCCCTCTCTCTCCCCCCCCCCACGCACTCCCTAAATATGATCTGGGGGTTGGGGGGGGTGAATCCCAGAACAGGTTTAGGGGACACGTGAGGGATGAATGGGGGGGGTGTCAGCAGACCTCATACCTCGTGTGCATATCCCACTTAATGCTACACTGAGTTCCACCGACTACCTCAATGGTCATGTTCAGACCTTACACTAAACCAGAGTTTAGAGTAACAAGAACAAGATGCAGTGAGCCTTGAGCTCTTGCATACTCCATGTTCTTCGGTGCCCATCAGAAGGAGTTCAGAAGCTTTTGCTTGAAAGTTAGTTAGCACGGGTCTAAACCACTGAGCCTCTTGGGCTTGCCGATCAGAAGGTCGGCGGTTCGAATCCCCGCGACGGGGTGAGCTCCCGTTGCTTGGTCCCAGCTCCTGCCAACCTAGCAGTTTGAAAGCACATCAAAGTGCAAGTAGATAAATAGGTACCACTTCCAGCAGGAAGGTAAACGGCGTTTCTGTGCGCTGCTCTGGTTTCGCCAGAAGCGGCTTAGTCGTGCTGGCCACATGACCCGGAAGCTGTACGCCGACTCCCTTGGCCAATAAAGCGAGATGAGCACCACAACCCCAGTCGTCTGCGACTGGACTCAACTGTCAGGGATCCTTTACCTTTTTTTGTTTGTTTGTTATATTTATATATCATTTCACACTCTCAGAAGCATCCCAAAAAGATTTACAATAAAAGATTGTTTGGACCAACAGTAGCTTTTTGTGTTGCCCAAACCCAACAAACTGAGGTTGATCTTAACTATGGTTTGTTTGAAAAAGGTTACATTCAAACACTGGGTTATGAAACTGGCTTGTTAAGACAAACCATGGGTAAACATTGTTGTTTAGTCGTTTAGTTGTGTCCGGCTCTTTGTGACCCCATGGACCAGAGCACACCAGGCACTCCTGTCTTCCACTGCCTCCCTCAGTTTGGTCAGACTCATGTTTGTAGCTTCGAGAACACTGTCCAACCATCTCATCCTCTGTCGTCCCCTTCTCCTTGTGCCCTCCATCTTTCCCAACATCAGGGTCTTTTCCAGGGAGTCTTCTCTTCTCATGAGGTGGCCAAAGTATTGGAGCCTCAGCTTCAGGATCTATCCTTCCAGTGAGCACTCAGGGCTGATTTCCTTCAGAATGGAGAGGTTTGATCTTCTTGCAGTCCATGGGACTCTCAAGAGTCTCCTCCAGCAAACGTTAATAACATTTTAAACAATAACAGTTTAAGACTGGGCTGGCAAGTTAAAATGTGGTTCTCTGAAATCAGAAGCAAAAGCTTCCAAACTCCTCCTTGTAAGTACATGAGGAGAGAGGAAAGCATGGTAGGCCAGTAGTATTGGTTACCTGTTGAAACTCATGTCACCTGGCGTCCATAATACATAGCAAGAGGCAGGGAGCCCATCACGACCAGCCCTTCCAATTTCCTGATAATACGATTCCATTTCCTTTGGCGCTCCATAATGAATAATTGTCCGGATGTCTGCTTTATTGATGCCCATTCCAAAAGCTACAGTCGCTACTATACACTGAAAAACAACCACCATATCAGTTTTTAACTCCACTTTAATATTGATGCATGGAAAAAATTCGATGTGCTTACAACAGTTTAATGTGTCCAGCTACATAAAGTATATACTATGGCTATGTCTCCAGTTGCAAAGCACTCATTAAAGGCAGTGAAATCAAAGTACAGTAGTACCTCGGGTTATATACGCTTCAGGTCACATGCGCTTCAGGTTACACACTCCGCTAACCCAGAAATAGTGCTTCAGGTTAAGAACTTTGCTTCAGGATGAGAACAGAAATCGGGCTCTGGCGGCGCGGCAGCAGCAGGAGGCCCCATTAGCTAAAGTGGTGCTTCAGGTTAACAACAGTTTCAGGTTAAGAAGGGACCTCCGGAACGAATTAAGTACTTAACCTGAGGTACCACTGTAGCCAAACTGGAGCTATATTGGGCACAGCCCAGTAAAAGGTACTACCTGAAAGTCCAGTTTAAAGCAATAGAACAAGCCATGCAGCCAAATCCTATGAACATATAGTCAGAGGCAGGGGCTTACGAAGTGGGGGGGGCGCCACTCTGGGGTGTGTGTGTGTGACAAGATGGCCCCTGCCTCCCCCCAGCTGTAGAGCAGTTGAGGGTGCACGCAGTCAGTATGGGTACCGCTCGCACAGCAACCGTACAACTCGCGTGAGTGGCACCCATACTGAGGAAGGCCATCTTGTCAACCCCCCCCCCGAGTGGCACCCAGGGCAGCCTACGTATGGATGTCGCGTGTGCATCACCGGGCTGGGCGTCCCGCCCCAGGTTCCTCTGCCACTGGTCAGAGGTATTGCTGAATTCAATTGGATTCACTCCCAGGTTAAGTGTGCACGGAATCACAACCTTAGTTGCAACCAGTTTAAATTTTATTGATGTCACTGGGACACAGTCAGAGCTAACTTATGCTGGATTGTGGCTGCTGAGCTTGGAAGGAAAGTGGGAGGTGGGACCTTGGGACATATTTAGCGACTATGATGCTTCCTCCTAATTTCCCCCTGTATATCCCACAAAATACAACCACATAGCATCTTATGACAAGCAAACAGCATTTCCTTCATACCTGAATTTCATCTCTCATGAATTTGTGGTGGATGTCTCTCCTTGCTGCGATTCCCATGCCAGCATGGTATGTTCCACAAACAATGTTTAATTTTGTCAGCTCTGCAGCTACCTGTTCAGTTGTCTTCCTTGATGGGCAGTAAACAATAGCGGGGCCTTCAAACTCATAACTAAATCTAAGAATTTAAAGAAGAAGAAAGCATCTGCATGTGACATAGATCATTAGGATATCCAAGGAACGAACAAAGAAAATACAGTGGTGCCTCGCAAGACGAAAAGAATCCGTTCCGCGAGTCTCTTCGTCTTGCGGTTTTTTTGTCTTGCGAAGCAAGCCCATTAGCGGCTTAGCGCTATTAGCGGCTTAGCGGGCTTAGCAGATCAGCTGATAAGCAGCTTAGTGGCTTAGCGGATCAGCTGATAAGCGGCTTAGCGGATCAGCTGTTAAGCGGCTTAGCGATCAGCTGTTAAGCGGCTTAGCAGATCAGCTGTTAAGCGGCTTAGCGGATCAGCTGATAAGCGGCTTAGCGGCTTGGGAAAAGGGGGGGGGAGGGAAAAAACCCTGCAGGAACTCGCAAGACATTTTCGTCTTGCGAAGCAAGCCCATAGGAAATTCGTTTTGCGAAGCACCTCCAAAACGGAAAAACCTTTCGTCTAGCGGGTTTTCCGTCTTGCAAGGCATTCGTCTTGCGGGGCACCACTGTACGTTAGCCTTGTGACAAATCTTTCTTGTAGATTTTCTCCTCGAATACTGGCTCTATTAATCTCATAATAAACTTGGGGGGGAAATACTGATCTACTGTTGCGGACTATCAACACATTTCAGAAGTTGGGGGAAAGTGTTATTGGAGTAGAAGAGCCTTTATTAAAAAAAAAAAAATTTAAATAAATATTTATAAACGTTTCTTTCCAGCGGTAACCTTGGAACACAAAATTTGCGGGCGAAGGAGGGACAAAACACACTAACTTGTCTTTTTTAACAAGGAACTGCTGTATGTCCACGATGATATTTCCAGTTTTCCTTACTACTTCTAAGTATAAATTAGGCCGGTCAAAGCTGGTACATGTGACCTGGGGAGTCTTAAGGTTCAGACAGTTTATGATGTCCTCTCTGACAGAAGGGCTTGCTGTTGCCGTTAATGCAACAATGGGAACCTGAAAAGAAAAAAGAAGCAGAAATCTGGGAAATGTAAAGGTGATGGATAAAAAGAAATCAAAGCATTAAACTCTTTTTATATCATAATCCAAAATTTAAGGAATAAAGTATAAGCGGGGACTCTGATTTAATTTACTCTAATTGGTGTGGAAAGTGTAAATATATGCATGAATAAAGCACATTGTTTTCAGTAGGGTCAGATTAAGTTTCCCAGAAGAATTCTAGGAGGAGTCTAGGAAATATCCATCATCACCTTCTCCTTCAATGTCAACATTTGCAGTTACAGTGAACATTCATACAGGTTATCATGATCCATATTCTGGCCTTCCTCCCACCACTTCCCTTCCTCCCCCGAAAGGTTGTGAGGCAACCTTTAAGAGTCCATGTGCATGTCATGCTCTCCAGACTGGGAGTGAGCTGCAGGATCATACACTCCCCTTTCCGCAGACCATTAATTTTTTCTTATAGCCCCAAAGCTCAATAGCACAATTCAGCCATCTTGCCAAACCAGGGTTAATTATGATTTAGTCTGTTGTCTGTTTTGGCAAACCATGGTTTGCGGGCAGCCAGCACACCAGAATCAGAAGCCAAGGTTGGAAACCAGTTTGCATGTGCCTACTACAGTACAGCAAGGGACGCGGGTGGCGCTGTGGGTAAAAGCCTCAGCGCCTAGGGCTTGCCGATCGAAAGGTCGGCGGTTCGAATCCCCGTGGCGGGATGCGCTCCCGCTGCTCGGTCCCAGCACCTGCCAACCTAGCAGTTCGAAAGCACCCCCAGGTGCAAGTAGATAAATAGGGACCGCTTACTGGCGGGAAGGTAAACGGCGTTTCCGTGTGCTGCGCTGGCTCGCCAGATGCAGCTTGTCACGCTGGCCACGTGACCCGGAAGTGTCTTCGGACAGCGCTGGCCCCCGGCCTCTTGAGTGAGATGGGCGCACAACCCCAGAGTCTGTCAAGACTGGCCCGTATGGGCAGGGGTACCTTTACCTTTACCTTTTTACTACAGTACAGCATGATGTACAGATTGGCAAAAGGGGATTGTGGCTGTTACTGCTCTTCCATTTTTATAGTGCTTCGGCCTCTGGGAGTGCCGAGTAGTTGGAAAACAAGAGCAGATAACCACAGCTAATATACCTGGAAGTTCAAACCATCTTTAGCATAATTTATGGTTGGCATGATTCTGAATTGAGCCTATGCTAGTATGCACATTAATGTGTAATCACAGAGGGAAGAGTATGTAGCGCAGGCATAGGCAACCTCGGCCCTCCAGATGTTTTTGGCCTACAACTCCCATGATCCCTAGCTAGCAGGACCAGTGGTCAGGGATGATGGGAATTGTACTCCCAAAACATCTGGAGGGCTGAGGTTGCCTATGCCTGATGTAGCAAGCTGCCCATCCGAAATGGAAACACAAGGAATGATCAAAAACTATACACAGCGCACAGAGATCAAACATTTGTTTTGTTAAAGTTGATCTATGTTCAAAAAAATTAAATCAGAAAAATTTCTTGCAATGACTATACTGTACCTTCGGAAGATGTTTCTTCAACAACCCCAAAGACCTGAAAGAATTCCTGAAGTCATGTCCCCATTCAGAAATACAGTGAGCTTCATCAACAGCTATCAGGGTGATGCCTAAGATGAGTTAAGACAGGCCCGATCATGTGGTTACAGAGCACTTACGACAGTATAGATTTCAGAGCCAATTGGTATATACGTTTTGCAAATTTAACCACTTATGCAAGTAGTCTACTTTGAATTAGCAGATGTCAGAAGCCAGAGTGACCCAGACCTCTGGGTGTACCTCATCTGAGGAAGAGGCCCAGGATGCTGCAGTAAGCCCTGACACACCTAAAGAACCCATTAAAGCAGCCCAACTAATCCAGTCTTACAGACACCTCATCTGGAGCAAACCTCTATATGCACTGTGGATCAGATTCTTTTCTGGACCTCTACAGTGGTACCTCTGGTTATGAACTTAATTCGTTCCAGAGGTCCATTCTTAACCTGAAACCGTTCTTAACCTGAGGTACCACTTTAGCTAATGGGGCCTCCCGCTGCTGCCACACTGCCGGTGCGTAGTTTCTGTTCTCATCCTGGGGCAAAGTTCTTAACCCAAGGCACTACTTCCAGGTTGAATGAATGAATGAACTTTATTACGGTCACAGACCAGGATTAAGAAAAGCATATAGATAAAATAGCAGTTGGGATTTTTGACCGATAATTGTTAGGGCAAATGAGGACAAGGAAACAGGCATAAAACATCTGAATAAAATACAAGATTAAACACAGATAATGGATAAATAAAAAACTAATAATTAAAACCGATAAGAGCTAAAAACCAACAAAGACACGCAGTTAAAACAGCTGTAAGAGCATAAAAACTAAAAAACTCGCAGATAAAACAACTATAAGAGGCTGCAGAGTAGAATCCTCTTAAATAGAGGACACTCACAACGTTAAAAACTGCTGTGCAAATATGGTTAAAACAGACAATTAAAACAATATACAACACTAAATTTAGAAAACCATGTGCAACAATAAACTGTCTCAGAATCACCCATGGAATCACCCATGGAACCGTGTTTGGGGCTTTTCATGCCGGACTATTTTGGGTTGGGCGATGGTCTGTGCCTACAGATCTGTAGACAGAATCTGGCGACCATCCAGGTCATCTTCTGATCTTTGCCCAACAGCAAAAGGTCAAATTTTTGCTTTTGCGGGAGGTGGGCGAGCCTCACCAGTAGGGGATCCATGATCTTACTACGTGCCTCTTTATAAAAGGGACATCTAAAGAACCCGCCTTCCTCTGCTTTCTCCCCACTTGAGAGAGTTCAATCCAGACTTCTCAGAGCTCTCCTCCAAGTCCCCAGATGTGTCTCAAACGCATGGGTTAGATTGGAAACGGGGATGATGAGAGTGGAGGCTAGCATCTGCCTAACATCAATTTACAAATGGCTGACACTGAACCTGCTCACCCGAGGGATAGCCCCATTGATCCTCTGTGACCAATTCCAGTCGGGCTGGCAGACTGCAGTCCTGAACACCCTCCGGAAATTGGGTTTTGCCCCTCAAGCCCTTCTAAGTCTGGGTTTGGACCAGGCAAAAGCTACGGTCAGGCAAAGAATATTAGACACCGAGAGACAGCAGGACTGTGCAAGGTGCCCCAACTACTTCCAGGTTAGCGGAGTGTGTAACCCGAAGTGTTTGTGACCCAAGGTACCACTGTATAGCTAAGACAAAGGTGGACCCCGTGAAAGACAATGAACCAGTAGAGAAGTGCTTGCCCTGCTGCAAGGAGGCTTCCAGATCCGAAGTCTACTCAGAAGAAACCTGCACTTGTAGCCCAGCCGATGTTCAGAAAGGCATGGATCTGGTTGAATTAGTATAATAAAACCTCTGTGTCTGCCTTTAAACTCCTGCCTAGATTTCTGTTTGTCTACAGTAGGGCAACTGGGTTGCTAATGAGCAAACTTGAACCCTGATTAGACGACCCAGTTAACATTTATGCCAGAAATTATTCTAGTAAGCTTTAATGCTGATTGGAACCTCAAATTAACCTGTGGACCTCCAGATGTCATGGAACTCCAACTACTCCCAACAGGTTAGCCACCTCTTTACTAAAGTTTTTTTTAAAAAAGCAGCTGTCACTTGGCAGAAATAAAACCCTACAACCTAATTGCAAACTTATGTTGACATTTTGCAGAAGAGAAAGGGGAAAAGAAAAATGTGCTCTCCACTGAACCTTCCCAATGCTCCCATAAGTCAAGGTCTACAAAAAGTTATCTTATCCTCGCACTCCTACATCCTTTCCCACATTAAGTTTCTTGCAATTCTCAGAAGTGGAGAAGTACAGAGCACAGACAAGAGGGACTTCAATTAACAGAAACCTTGGCTGACTGGATCAGAGCCAATGTAAACATCGGCGGAGCCCAGGTGGACAACCAAGAACATGCCATAAGTCATTTCTCTGATAAGAGCTTACTCTGTTTATCTGACCCTGAGGCAGATTCCATACAGTAGCTGGCCTTGAAGTTAAGGATGCAAAGCTGCAATTAACCAAGTCTCAACACTAGCTGGAAAGACCAAATATCCTTATCAGCTAAGGCCGTGCTCTCTTCCCAAGGTATTTTGGAGTACTTACAATCAACAACTTGGCCCAAATGAGAAGAAGAAAATTTGACCCTCCTTTTAGAACTTAAAGAAAGGGATTAAGCTTTCATAGTAATGGTTCTCCCAAAGATCTTTGTTTCTGTTCCAGACTTTGCCTATAGACAATCCTTCCTCTTCTCTGTGGCAATGGCAAAAATATTTGGTAGATTTCTGTCACTGGAATAAGAAAGTATGGCTGGGGATGGGGGCGGGTGGCAGCGAGTGTTGTTGTTGTTGAGTCGTTTAGTCGTGTCCGACTCTTCGTGACCCCATGGACCAGAGCACGCCAGGCACTCCTGTCCTCCACTGCCTCCCGCAGTTTAGTTAAACTCATGTTTGTAGCTTCGAGAACTCTGTCCAACCATCTCGTCCTCTGTCGTCCCCTTCTCCTTGTGCCCTCCATCTTTCCCAACATCAGGGTCTTTTCCAGGGAGTCTTCTCTTCTCATGAGGTGGCCAAAGTATTGGAGTCTCAGCTTCAGGATCCATCCTTCCAGTGAGCACTCAGGGCTGATTTCCTTAAGAATGGATAGGTTTGATCTTCTTGCAGTCCGTGGGACTCTCAAGAGTCTCCTCCAGCACCATAATTCAAAAGCATCAATTCTTCGGTGATCAGCCTTCTTTATGGTCCAGCTCCCACTTCCATACATCACTACTGGGAAAACCATAGCTTTAGCTATATGGACCTTTGTTGGCAAGGTGATGTCTCTGCTATTTAAGATGCTGTCTAGGTTTGTCATTGCTTTTCTCCCAAGAAGCAGGCGTCTTTTAATTTCATGGCTGCTGTCACCATCTGCAGTGATCATGGAGCCCAAGAAAGTAAAATCTCTCACTGCCTCCATTTCTTCCCCTTCTATTTGCCAGGAGGTGATGGGACCAGTGGCCATGATCTTTGTTTTTTTGATGGGTGGCAGCGAGTAACACGCAGTAAATCAAAGGTAGAGAGGTTGGGGATTCCCAGTCTCAGGTCATACTGTGTTGTTTGCTGGCAACAACAGTGCCTTAATTGCTAATAACGCTGAAATGATACACTGAAGAATAGCCTGCAATTTCCTCGATGGCAGGCACTCTATTTTGGTATGCTCTCCCTGGAAAATCCTTTATCAACCTTTAGAGTTAGGAGCTGCTGGTGCAAACATCTGTTCTCATTCCTTTATACAGTTCTAAATCGTCAAGACTGCATGTGTCTGAAAAGATATGCTCATTTCTAAAGTTGGAAGTGGGTGAGCATTAAAAGACTAAGAGGTTTGTTTCAAAATGGGAAACCACTGTTGGTAAGGACTAGAATGACAATCTCTGGAGGCTGGAAGACCTCTTCGGATGTCACCAGCCATATTTGGACATTTGAGTTATATGGCCAAGACCATGTAACACCGGTCCTGAAAGACCTACATTGGCTCCCAGTATGTTTTCAAGCACAATTCGAAGTGCTGGTGCTGACCTTTAAAGCCCTAAATGGCTTTGGCCCAGTATACCTGATCTCCTCCCCCATCATTCAGCTCAGACACTGAGGTCCTCCTCCAAGGGCCTTCTGGCAGTTCCCTCACTGCGAGAAGTGAGGTTACAGGGAACCAGGAAGATAAACAACTATCCGACTTTTAGAAGACATCTGAAGGCAGCCCTGTTTAGGGAAGTTTTTAAACCCAGCCAGATGGGCAGGGTAATGTAATGTAATGTAATGAAATGAAAATAATAATTCACCTTTTCAGAAAAATTGACTCAGTCTACAGAGCCCATGGGCATTCTAAAAAGCATTCTTTTGATACCACGTGTTTTTTGTTGTTATTTCTGTGAAAACTCATAGGTGTTTTATAAGAAACTAGACTCCAATACAGTGGTACCTATGGTTACGTACTTAATTTGTTCCGGGGGTCCGTTCTTAACCTGAAGACCACTTTAGCTAATGGGGCCTCCCGCTGCTGCCGCGTGATTTCTGTTCTCATCCTGAGGCAAAGTTCTTAACCCGAGGTACTATTTCTGGGTTAGCGGAGTCTGTAACCTGAAGCGTCTGTAACCTGAAGTGTATGTAACCTGAGGTACCACTGTAGATAAAACTCCTAGCAATTCCAAGAGCAGCAATCTCTTCTGAATTTTTTTAACACTATCAACTATTCCTACTTACCAATTGTTCTGTCAAGTTCCTCAAGCCATGGCAAGTTCCCCGAACAGAACTCTGGGGTAATGTAGACAACTCTATAGTGGCCCCTAGAAAAAAGAGGGGGAAAACAGCTGTGAGCTCAAGTTCAGCTTTTTTATGTTTGAAATTGCTCTTTCATGTTTACTGTACTTTATAAAGTTCTTTAAAAGCAACTTTAGGACTCTGCCTAAGAAGAGGCACGTTATTTGCCTGACCACCCCAAAAAAAGAAGACAAGGCAAGGCTTACGCTTTGATTTCCCCTCTGACATTCTTTGACTGTGCTGATCCAAGTAGACAAGCTTGAATTCCTGACATCCTACAAGAAAACACCACAGTTTTTTTATGATTTAGATTGTAATACCCATTGGCTAGAAACAGTAAAAATCTGTCTGACTGCACAGTGGCTGTTCTCTAAGCAGGGCTTTCACTAATTCGCCATAAAAAGTAAGATACATTTTACGTTTTCACTTCCCATCTATCACTTTGCCTTCTAGAGTAGTATTACAGTGGTGCCTCGGGTTAAGTACTTAATTTGTTCTGGAAGTCCGTTGTGGTGATCACAAAGGGTCCCTGGACGTTTGACGGTCTATTGATCCCTGTGCCACCACTGTGATTGCTTCCCCGCTGCCACCATCCCCGTTTCTCTTCAGGTAAACACGGAGTCCAAAGGACTCTCCTCCCTGGAAAGAGGAGGGGATGGTTGTGGACGGGAGCCGAACACCGCTCCTAGCAGGGCGTTTATTTTTATCAGCTCGTTACCCGGTTTTCAGAGTTTCTGAGTCCATCTTTTTTCTCTTGTCGGTTCTTAATCTTAGTTTAGGCTTAACCAGCTATGGACCTTCCCTTACAGTGGTGCCATTTGGCAAGGCGAAATTTTTCGTTCCGCGAGTCTCTTCTTCTTGGTGTTCTTTATGTTTGTCTTGCGAAGTCACACGGCCTTCATTATAGCGGCTTAAAGAATCGGCGGTATTCCTCCGAACCGCTTAGAGGCCATAGACCTCGGCATCGGGTAGCGTTTAAGAACAACAGGGAGAACAAAAACCACTCGCAAGATCCATGCTGCCAATACGTTTCATTCTTGCGAAGCAAGCCCATAGGAAATTTTCGTCTTGCACAACGATCATAAAAAATAGGAAAACCCTTTCGTTCTCGAGTTTTTCGTCTTGCGAGGCATTCGTCTTGCGGGGCACCACTGTGACTTCTAACTGATTATCCCAACTGCCTATCTGACTCCTCTTAACAGATTCTCTCACTCCCTCACATCAAACTATCCCAACCCACAGACTTATCCTCCCTCTCTCTTCTCTAACACCCAACTGACTCCTCAACAACTCCAACTCTAACTCCTCCCCTTGGGTTCCCACTTGCCAATCACTTCACACTCATTTAACCCTTTCCTTATGAGCCAGCATGATGTCACCTACCCAGGAGGGCAAACGCCACATCCGTTCTTAAGCTGAAACTGTTCTTAACCTGAGGTACCACTTTAGCTAATGGGGCCTCCCGCTGCCACTGCGCGATTTCTGTTCTCATCCTGAGGTAAAGTTCTTAACCCGAGGTACTATTTCTGGGTTGGCGGAGTCTGTAACCTGAAGCGTCTGTAACCCAAGGTACCACTGTATATGTAGAGGAACAATTGAACTTCCAACGTGCATTCGGAAAAGGGATTTTGGTGCAGTGGGGTGGGAGATAAAGCTGGACATTTCTAGTTCAACACTACATTAAGGGTATGCTTCTCGGGGACATCCGATGCATGGTTGTCACATCGTATGTCTTAGAAAATGAAATTCTCCGCTACAGAAATATAAAATCTTCTAGTTCATTTCTTTTTATTAAAGAAGCTTTAAAAAAAAAATAGACCCAGGAACATCTCTTTTGCAATGAATAAAAGAAAAGCACCTTTAAGAGAGAAAAGGTGCTACATTTGTTTTACGCTACACTTTTTTGATAGGTTTGGACATTTTGTGGATTACAGTTTAAAAAACCAGAGACAAACATATCCTCAAAGTTTGATGCGGCTAGGAAAAGACAACAGGTCTTCCGATTTATTGGTTTAAAATATGTTTTAGGCCACCTTTTAGGGCTGCTTTCATCACAAGGCTGCTTTCATCATATAGACACAGAATCACAATATATAAAATGAAGACAAGCCCATTTCTTCATGGCAGGCCTAGACTTACTCAAGTTGTAGTACTTGGTCTTCCATCAAAGAAATAAGGGGAGAGATTACTATTCCAATTCCTCTTGTATAAACTGGTGGAAACTGAAAGCACAAACTTTTCCCGTATCCTGAAATAATATATATTGAATGAACACATCTTGAATGATAAGGGAATCTCATTGGAAAACAACATTTCCTTTCCTCAACCTCCCTAGTCTGTTATCAGTCTTTATAGAGACACAGATGTATATAATGACATTAGCGTATTAGTGGGTTTATCCTCATGTCTATGTCAGTACTAATAAGGACCTTCTACAACACTTCAAATTAAAATTTTACAGATGTAGAGAAAATCACAGCAAGGCTAAAACTGGCACCGAATTTAATGAACCAGCTTCAGTCCTCTTTGTTCCAGTGACCTCTAGATCAGAATAATAGAATAAGATGTACATGCGGCTTCACAGCTGGTGCACAATGTGGCAGCAAGAATGCCAATAGGAACAAAGTGGTCTGAGCATATTAACACCAATTCTGGCACTATGTTGCCTAGTTAGCTAATAACTTAGTATTGTCTAAATCAGAGCTTTCCAAACTTTTCATGTTGGTGACACACGTTTTAGACAGGCATCATTTCCCAACACAGTAATTCAGTTTTACTAGCAAACTGGAGGTTAAACTAAACCGTTTCCAGCCCTGGGAGGAGCACAGGCAGCGTTCGCGTGACACACCTACACAGTGCAGCCGACACACTAACGTGTCGCAACACACAGTTTGGAAAGCTCTGGTCTAAATACTGGAAGTATGATACTGTCCTAAAGGGGGGGTGGGGTGAAAATGTGGAAGCTGTAGAAAGAAGTGGAAATTGACCCGAAACAGGTACTTTGAACTTCCACCATGCCATACCAAAGGCTTCCTGACCTTGGGATTGGGGGGCGCAATTAGTGCCAGCAGCGTCCGTTAAGAGTTTGGGTGTAATCTTCGACACCTCCCTTTCCATGGAGGCGCAGATTGCAGCTATAACAAAGGTAGCATTTTTCCATCTCCGCCAAGCTAAGCAGTTGGCTCCTTACCTCTCTCGCCCTGACCTAGCCACTGTGATCCACGCGACGGTCACCTCCAGACTGGATTATTGTAACTCGCTCTACATGGGGCTGCCCTTGAGACGGACCCAAAAACTCCAGCGGGTGCAGAATGCTGCAGCGAGACTCCTTACGAGGTCTTCGCTGCGAGATCACATTCACCCGGTGCTATACCAGCTGCACTGGCTCCCGGTGGAGTACAGGATCAGGTTTAAGGTGCTGGTCTTAACCTTTAAAGCCCTATACGGCCTAGGACCCTCGTACCTATGGGACCGCCTCTCCTGGTATGCCCCACAGAGAAACTTACATTCAAATAAAAACATCTTGAAGGTCCCAGGCCACAGAGAAGTTAGGCTGGCCTCAACTAGAGCCAGGGCTTTTTTGGCTGTGGCTCCGTTCTGGTGGAACACTCTGTCACAAGAGACCAGGGCCCTGCGGGACTTGACATCTTTCCGCAGGGCCTGCAAGACAGAGCTGTTCCACCAGGCCTTTGGCCAGGGCACAGCCTGACTCCCTCCCTCGGCAATCTTCGCGGAGCTCTGGCCCAATGGTTGCCAGTGGCTTGAATTAATTAATTTTATAATGAATGATTTTAGTGTTGTTTATGCTGTACTTTTGTACTGTTTTATTGTTGTTAGCCGCCCTGAGCCCGGCTTCGGCTGGGGAGGGCGGGATATAAATAAAATTTATTATTATTATTATTATTCAAAGATGGAGCAGTGAGGAACAGGTGTAGGAGAGACCATCAAAGTTCATGAGCTTCCTTAAAGTTGCAGTTCTTAAGACTCCAAACCATTGCATCCAAAAAGCTTACAGACTCCCAACCCAAAGATATCCTTGGCATTTTATCCCCCCAACGGGGCAACAACCACTCATATCACTACACCCTAACACTCTCAGGAAGTCATCTTCATGGGTTTATCCCTCATACGACATCCTGTGGAAAAAATATATGCAGCTCACCAGTTGCCATGACAACAAGGTTGTCTCTTCTGTCTTGCAAAACCGAAGAGATCACTTTCCACTGGACCCTTGAAGTTAAGGAAAAACATGACACAAAACGTTCCACTCTCATTTGAGTCTTATTCAGCAACTCAGCATTCACTCTTTCATGTGCAACATAAAGGCAAAGGGACCCTGACTATTAGGTCCAGTCGTGGCCGACTCTGGGATTGCGGCACTCATCTCGCTTTATTGGCCGAGGGAGCCGGCGTACAGCTTCCGGGTCATGTGGACAGCATGACTAAGCCACTTCTGGCGAACCAGAGCAGCGCACGGAAACGTCGTTTACCTTCCCGCTGGAGCGGTCCCTATTTATCTACTTGCACTTTGACGTGCTTTCAAACTGCTAGGTTGGCAGGAGCAGGGACCGAGCAACGGGAGCTCACCCCATCGCGGGGATTCGAACTGCCGACCTTCTGGTCGGCAAGTCCTAGGCTCTGTGGTTTAACCCACAGCGCCACCCGCGTCCCCATGTGCAACATACAGGTTTCTTTTTACAGAAAGCCGAGTCTTCTATGCTCTATTGACTGAGCTATTCCAGCTAAGGAATTTGGGATAGAGCAGAGCTGCAGGAATTGTTCTCCTTGGTATCTCCCTTACTCTGCCTTCTATCACGAAAACATCCAGCCATCCATGTCACCTTTGCAACAAGTCAATTCCTCATTGTCCCTGCCTGCCTATGCATGCAGCTAGTCCAGATGTCCACCTCCAAATGATCCCATTGGTTCTTGTTCCACTGGCCAAGCCACTATCATCTCATTTGCACCATGAGCGTGCCCTAGAAGACACCTAACACAACACTCCCCTGGCCCCGTGGGGGGATTGATAACTTGCCCACTGTTTTCAGGGAGCCCACTCCACCAGCACTGATCTCACCGTTGCAGAGCCCACCATATGTTCCAAGCAACACAGCTTAAAGACCACTGCACTATGCATGCTGGTCGCAACCCATATGGTGAGCCCTATTCAGCAGTACCGCTGGGGCAAAGGGACCTGTCCCAGGGATATATGTTTATGCGGTAAATACAAAGCACAGATCCCTTCCTATTGTTGTGTATAGGAAAGGAAAACAACAAAACTTACGGTTTAAAATTTGCATGTCCAAAATACATCTTTAGGCAAGCAATTTGTTTATCGTTCGGTCTAGGCAAGTAGGAATCTTTGAAAACACAGAAAACACAAGATTCAGAGCTAAAGAATGTACAAAATCTAGTGAAGTTATGAGAAGCAGTTCTTGTAGCTAGTCTCCATTTTAACTTGTTATAGTGACTGGGGTCTAACTAACTATTGTAGGCATCCCTCAGTGAGAATTCCGGTTTCCTCGCCACCCCTAAACAGCAGATTCCCCATGCTTTATTATAAATTGCTCTTGAAACTTGGAGGTTTGTCTAAGCTTCTCTTTGGAGAAATATAAGTTCCCTTTGAAGTGCAGAACTAGATAGGTAGTTCTTTGGATATATTTTAACAAACTTTTAAAGTGGTTATTTTAATAAAAAAAAACTATTTACCCCAACTTTCCTCCTCTTCCTCAATGCCTTCATCTTCCTCATTATCATCTATAGTGAGTTCACTTTGCCTCTTGGACTTATCCAGGGTCGAATCAGTGAAATCTTTATTGTGCTTGTCTATTTCTTCTAAGGACTGGAGAAGAGATTGGACAAGTTAAGACACTCTTAGATCAAAAGATGCAAATAAATCAGAGGTAGCTAAGATGCTGGAGTGAAGTTACATTTGATTGCACCTGTTTGGTTTGTTTTTTAATTTAGTCAATGAGCTCATAAAAAGGTAAAGGTAAAGGTACCCCTGCCTGTACGGGCCAGTCTTGACAGACTCTAGGGTTGTGCGCCCATCTCACTTAAGAGGCCGGGGGCCAGCGCTGTCCGCAGACACTTCCAGGTCACGTGGCCAGCGTGACAAGCTGCATCTGGCGAGCCAGCGCAGCACACGGAAACGCCGTTTACCTTCCCGCTAGTAAGCGGTCCCTATTTATCTACTTGCACCCAGGCGTGCTTTCGAACTGCTAGGTTGGCAGGCGCTGGGACCGAGCAACGGGAGCGCACCCCGCCGCGGGGATTCGAACCGCCGACCTGACGATCGGCAAGTCCTAGGCGCTGAGGTTTTACCCACAGCGCCACCCGCGTCCCTAATGAGCTCATAAACCCTATCAATAGAATGACTCTAGGCTGTAAAAATAATCTTCCATTACAAAGAAACTTGGCTGGTGGGAAAAGTTGCAATTAGTTCTATCACTTTATCTGCCCGTCAAGAAAAAGCTCCAGCTCCTCGATTTCTTCATATCAAGTTGCTGTTAAGGCACAGGAGAAGAGGCAGCATTTCATTTCGCTAAACTGGACCAGTATTTACTGTTATTAAAAGTCTATTCTTGCTTGTCAAACATTTTCTCGGTGGCTCCAGTCAAACATACTATACCAAATACAAACTTCTTCAGTAGAGGAAATACCTGGCAAAGCACATGACCAAGAGATAGCATGCTCTCTCTCTCTCTATTTACAAAACCTCTCTCTCAAAAACAACTTATTTATTCCAAAAAGCAACACATTTACAAAAACATGCTTGTAGACGGAAAAAACCAGACATCTGAAAGAAAAGTAAATTATTATTTTTTAAAGTCAGCAGACATTATTATTTTGTAACAGACGCCGTGAGAAAATGGAAGAGGCTCAAGCCTCGTCCCTGGGATTTCTACCTTTTCCCAGCCAAATTCAACACAATTATCTCTGTTATGCCATGAACGGACAAGCAACCCAAATACATGACAGGGATGCTTAACAACCCATTCCAACCCTTGCTTCCTTATCTCAATATAACCAAGCTTCAGAGCGTCTCTCTATGGTGGGTATTTAAATAAATAATTGAAAATTAAAATCTAACTAGCCAGAAAGAAACTAATTGGCTCAGGGAGGATCAGGAGAACCCCCTAGATACTCCGGGTAATTGATACTCAGCAAAACCGAGCCTTGACTGGGATCCCAAAGACCCAAGAACGCAAGGTGAGGCAGCCAGCAGCTAGAAAGTTAAAGCCCGGCAATGCAATTCCCACCCATCCACACCCAAAAATCTAATGTAGAAGAACCCTCTAGAAAAAATACACAATTTTTATCCATCAACAACAGGACCAGGGTGGGGTTGGACCTTTCCCTTATAGTTTTCCATGAATTTTACTGTCCATAAACAGTATTTTACTGTTCGTGTAAACCCTGAATTACCATAATCTCTCTGGGAGGGGGCAGCACGAGCAACTGAGACCTTGTTGTATAAGTGGTTCCCCCATGCAGGGACCTTTGGACACATTTCCAGTGCCGGTTCCCCAAAACATGCTACGTTCTCAGTTTCATTTAGGCGACATAGCTGCTTTTCTGCCTCTCTGATCAGAATGCCAATGCCTCCGTGGGCCTTTATTAAAAGCAGCAAAAACGTGCACACAGTAAAATACTGTTCCCAGCCAGTGAGTTTTCCGGTTTGTAAACGTTCACTGGAACCCGAAAGTCCGACGCAGCTTCCACGGCTTCCTGCAGCCAATCGGAAGCTGTACCTTGGTTTCTGAACGTTTTGGAAGTTGAACGGACTTCCGGAACGGATTCCGTTCGACTTCCGAGGTACCACTGTACTTATACCTGATATTTACCATATTTTTTTGCTCCATAAGACACACTTTTTCCCTCCTAAAAAGCAAGGGAAAATGTGTGTGCATCTTATGGAGCGAATGCAGGGGGGAGGCAGGCGGGAAAAGCCCCCAAGAGCCGCACACAAGCTCCGTGCGGCTCTTGCGGGCTTTTCCCTAGGAGGGAGAAGGGACTGACTGGCCGCATCAGTCCCTTCTCCCACCTCGTAGAAAAGCCCAAAGGAGCCACACACCCTTTAAAGAGCGTGAGGCTCCTGCGGGCTTTTCTACGAGGTGGGAGAAGGGACTGACGCGGCCAGTCAGTCCCTTCTCCCTCCTCAGGGAAAAGCCCCCAAGAGCCACACACACACTCCACCCAGCTCTGTAAAGGGAGCGCTGAGCAGAGCCTGGGATGCATACAGGCTCTGCTCAGCGCTCCCTTTAAATAATATTTTTTTTCTTGAATTCCCCCTCTAGAAACTAGGTGCGCCTTATGATCAGGTGCGCCTTATGGAGCAAAAAATACGGTAACAATTATCAAATGTTTTCTGAAAGCACTTTAAAAACTGATAAGTAGATTTTCAAACACCTACTTTAAGCATCTCCATTTCAAGTTCATCATCATCTTCAATGGTGCAAAGAGAATCCTCTTCATCCTCTAGATGGCTTGATTCCTAAAAGGAAAATTTCAAAGTGAGTGCAGTTTCTATTTTGGTGTTGCTTCTCTCTGTGAGCAAACATGACAGCGGCTGATGTTTGTGCCTTTCCCCCCATTGATAGGGCAACTGAGGTAGGGGAGGGCAAGCGGCATGTCCATACCATTTTGTGGTTCTGTCTCTTTTTCTGTTCATTTAGATGTGACGGCCATTATGCCATCCCCCAAAGCAGCCACTTTGTGTTATGCCACGCCCCATAGTAGTCATGTGTGGCTCATGCTCACAGCACTTTCTCCCCAAAATGCTGGAGACCCTTGTAACACAAGAAGGGTTATGCAAAGGCCTTATTATTGAGTTAGTTAGGAAAGGGGTTTAAAAGTCTGATATTTTGTCACAGGAGAAAACAGGGGTTTCTCAGATTTCTAGAAGCAAGCAGACCCCCGCCCACCTCTCATGCAATACTGCTTCAGTTGTTGCAGCCCTACTGAAATCTGGGAGAAATATTTGTTTGTTAATAGATTAAACATTACAGTGGAGCCTCGATGGTCGAACGTAATCTGTTCTGGAATAATAATAAATAATAATAATAATAATAATAATAATAATAATAATAATAATAATAATTTATTTATACCCCGCCCATCTGGCTGAGTTTCCCCAGCCACTCTGGGCGGCTCCCAATCAAGTGTTAAAAACGATACAGCATTAAATATTAAAAACTTCCCTAAACAGGGCTGCCTTCAGATGTCTTTTAAAGATAGGATAACTGCTTACTTCCTTCACATCTGAAGGGAGAGTGTTCCACAGGGCAGGCGCCACCACCGAGAAGGCCCTCTGTCTGGTTCCCTGTAACCTCACTTCTCGCAGTGAGGGAACCACCAGAAGGCCCTCGGCGCTGGATCTCAGTGTCCGGGCTGAACGATGGGGGTGGAGACGCTCCTTCAGGTATACTGGACCGAAGCCGTTTAGGGCTTTAAAGGTCAGCACCAACACTTTGAATTGCAACACTTTCTGGAAGACCTTTAGACAACCGAGGCGCAATTGCGGTCGGCAAAATCCATTGAAAAAAATGGGAGAAACGCAGCTCGGAAGCCGTTTGACTTCCAAAAATCGTTCAAAAACAGAAGCATTCACTTCCGGGTTGTCAACGTTCGGGTTCTGAATTGTTTGGCTTCTGAAGCGTTCGACAACCAAGGTTCCACTGTGCTACTTTTCTTAGACCCTTATCCAGATAGACTCACCTTAGACATACAAGCCATTTCACTTAGCAGCTCCTCCTCAGCCTGACGCTCCAACATTTGAAGTTCATATTCAGTTATATCTAGCGACATTAAGCATTCTCCCACCACAGCTTTAGGTCCACTGTCTGAAGCATCATCTACGTGTGTCTTCTTATTAATTTCCGATTCACCTTCCATTAGGGCTTCCTTTTGGACTAGTTTGTGACCCACACGATTGACTGACTCAGACGTGACCTTGGAAGTCAAGTCTGACATTTCAGTTTTTTCTTCATTACCGCAGATCATTTCTGTATCTGTAGTATCTCCCAGCTCCATCCGGAAGGCAGGCTCAACAAGCAGCTCTCTTCTGAAAGCCTTGAAGTTTTCTGACATGGCAGCCAAAATTTCTGCAGCTCTATTAAAGAATGTCAAAATGGCAGAGCACGCTTCAAAATGGGCTTGATGGATTTATCCAAAGAGGGTTAAAGCAAACTTGGATGTACAGTGGTGCCCCGCAAGACGAATGCCTCGCAAGACGAAAAACCCGCAAGACGAAAGGGTTTTCCATTGCGGAGGCGCTTCGCAAGACGAATTTCCCTATGGGCTTGCTTCGCAAGACGAAAACGTCTTGCGAGTCTTGCCATTTTTTCCCCGCTTTCCCCCCCCTTTTTCAAAGCCGCTAAGCCGTTAATAGCCTTTTAACAGCTTAGCCGCTAAGCCTTTAATAGCCGCTAAATCGCTAATAGCGCTAATCCGCTTAGCCGCTAATGGGGTTGCTTCGCAAGACGAAAAAACCGCTAGACGAAGAGAATCGCGGAATGGATTCTTTTCGTCTTGCGAGGCACCACTGTATTCTTGGTCTGATCTAAATGCACTCCCCTTTCTTAGTAGGATCCAGAAAACCATACGTACAATCCAGTTATCTATTGCCCACATTTTAACCCTTAAAAACACATTCCAAAGCACCTTTCAATTAAAAAACAAAGGTTATTCAATTACATTTTAAAAAAAAGATCTTAAAAGACACAGTTAAAACCAAGAAGAAAAAAGGGATCATTAAAAGTAACCAACAAGCTAAAGGAGAATGGAAATTTAGCTCAGACTAAGTCAGACAAAATTAAGATGTTTTCACAGTTCAGAAGAGGCGGGGGTACAAGTCTTATAATCTGGGTACCACAATTAAAAAAAACTTGTCCTGCAATCCAGGCAAGCACACCTTAAAAGGCAACTACACATGAAATATTTCTTGATGCTCTATAAAATACATTCAGGGGGTCTCCCGACATTCTTAAAAAGATTTTTTAAGGAGTAAACGGAAATGCAGTAAGAAATAAGGCCCAAAAAGCTACGGTGCAAGTCCAGACGTCCTGGTGCAAGTAAAGACGGCCTGTCTTTGGTTTTGTCTTATCAAGCCCACTTAACTTATATGATTTCATAAACATACAAATAGTGCACTCACTGAATTAGATCATTAATGTTCTGAGAAAGAACACAATACCATTAATTTGTACTTATAAAGCAAACAACACCTAACCTTTGAAGGTTTGTAGATTGTCCAAAAGTGCCAGGAAGATTATTTGCTAAATCCACCATCTCCTCTACTAAAGATGCGAATTCCTTCTTCATTTCACTTGCCAATAGGGCCCCATCTGTTTGTTTTTAGGGGAGGGAAGGTCAATGTGAACATTATTTTTACCAACCACTATGTGCTCTTTTCCAGTTACCTGGCTTTGAAACAACAACAACAACAACAAAGTAAAATTCATTGTTTCAATAGTGATTTACTTCTCTTAAAATTTCAGGCCTGCTCACAAAATAAGGGATATTGCAATGATTACTTTTAAATGGGCTTCCACTGGGCTTTTTCAGAGAGGCACAGAATTCTCCTAACATGTTTCATATGCATGCTTAAATCTTTCTGGTCATTCGTAAATCACCATATTCTTGCTATGAAGTGAGTCTATCACCCAAGTCCTAATTATTAATAAATAATAATAATAATAATAATAATAATGCAGTGTTAACCTTTATGCTGAGTTACTACAATGTTGCCTACATGTAGCTGCTTCCAAAGAATGCTCAGAAACTGCAACTCATGCAACATGCAGTTGCGGGTCCATTACTTGCCAGCCTGTTTCATGGACCCAATTCAATGTCTTGGTGCCCTGCAAGATGGAAGATGAAGGCGAAGTACAGTGGTACCTTGGGTTAAGTACTTAATTCATTCCGGAGGTCCGTTCTTAACCTGAAACTGTTCTTAACCTGAAGCACCACTTTAGCTAATGGGGCCTCCTGCTGCTGCTGCGCCACCAGAGCACGATTTCTGTTCTCATCCTGAAGCAAAGTTCTTAACCCGAGGTACTATTTCTGGGTTAGCAGAGTCTGTAACCTGAAGCGTATGTAACCCGAGGTGCTTCAGGTTAAGAACAGTTTCAGGTTAAGTACGGACCTCCGGAATGAATTAAGTTCTTAACCCGAGGTACCACTGTATACTTTTTTTTAGAAACAAGCTCTGCTGATTTCAGCAGTGCATTCCCCAGTAAGTACACAAGTTTGCAACCGAATTCTCATATATATATACTTACTTATTTAAATATTTGCAAACTGCACTTACCCGAATATATAACAATGTGGTGTGCAACATACAAGCATAAGAATAGGATAACAACCAAAAGAACATCAATGATGTATCGATAAAAACCAATTGGTTCACACACACACACACACACACACACACATTTAAGAGGGATTTTAACAGGGAGAGGGAGGTGGCACAACATGTTTTACAGCAGGCACGTCCAACTCCCAAGAGAATGTGATCTACTCCCCCTTTGGGGGGGACCCAAAGTTGTTGAGCTTTTTTAGGGAAGTTGTTGACCTTTGGGGGGGGCGAAGGCAAAGTTGTTTACCTTTTTTTAGGGGGGAAGCAAAGCATGTTTAGCTTTATATTGGGGGGGAGACATCGCTCACCTAAAACAACAATGCAGCATTAATGACTGCTTTTGCTTTCTAACTCGTGGGCAAAACACCCATTTGACACAACAGAGGAAAGGAGCGACGGCGGCCAGGGACTTTCAATCCATTGCTTATCACTACCACCGATCAACAGGGATCCCGCAATTGACCACAACCATCTGGGGATCGATCAGTCGATCACGGTTGACAGGTTGGACATTAATAATAATAATAATAATAATAATAATAATAATAAATTTTATTTATATTCCGCCCTCCCCAGCCGAAGCTGGGCTCAGGGCGGCTAACAACAATGAAATAGTACAACATTCTAAAATCATTTTATTATAAAATTAATTCAAATCAAATTGATGGCAACCATTAGGCTAAAGTTCTGTGAAGATTGCCAAAGGAGGGAGTCAGGCTGTGCCCTGACCAAAGGCCTGGTGGAACAGCTCTGTCTTGCAGGCTCTGCGGAAAGATGTCAAGACATCCCAGTTTTAAAGCATGAATTGGAAAAGCCCTCTCTACTAGCTAGGGATGAAGGGACTTGTAGTCCAACAGCAGCTGGGGATCCAAGTTTGAAACAGTAACTCATGGTTTAGTGCAATGTGGACAATCCAATTGTCCTTCCAGGTTAGCAAATGAGGAGGTGCTTAGAAGCTTTCACTTCTGCTTCTAGTTAACTAGAGCTAGTCAACTAGAGCAGCTAGTTGGAAACAGAGTCGCTCGCTTGGAGCTATCCGTGGTGCTGCAAACTCTGATCAGCGTCGCCTCATTATCTGTGGATCCACGTGGCAGAGGAACCAAATAAAAGCACTGAAATTAACCAGTAAAGCTATAAATGGCCTGAATTTGTGGTATCTGAAGGAAACGTGAGTAGAATGCATCCATGTACAGGATCACAGTGTACGCCCTAGTCTTCCAGTTGTATAGAAAAATGCAATGCCTTTTAAAAGACTCCCCGTCCCCCATGCATTTTGTAAAATACAGTCATGGGAAAGTCATGCTAGCAATCTTTCCAATCTAAAAGGGACACCTTTTGAGGCGTGCAAGGTATACCAAATAGTTTGCGGTTTCATTCAAGCATATGACCATACCCACTCTATTTTCCCACAGCTCTGATAATACACACAGTATGAACTGTGTCTATCACGTTGCCCAATGCATTTTAGGAAAAGAGGAAATACAACAGAAGTTGAAAGTGGGGATAGGTAGAACCTCATTATGGTTTACGTTGAAGCTCACCTTTTTCTGCCCTAATTTGCATCTGCTTAGAAGTACTCATGTTCACCAGTTTTTCGTAAATGAGAAGGCTAGCCTGAAACATAAGAGAACTTTTTAATGCAAAAGGTAATGCTTAACATTTTTTCTCAGTCCATATAATTTAAAACTACCTATCTCTCTCAAAAAATGTTTTTGATTAGCATCTTAACAGTGAACATTCTTTTAATACTGTGCTCAACTATTTAATTAAAAAAAAATCTGTTCCAACTCATAACAAGAATTTTCAAGGATGCATACCATTTAAAATAACAATAATGAACAATTTTAAAAATTATAAAACCATAAAACAACGGTGAAACAGCTTAATACAATTTGAATAAAAACTGCATGGGAATCTGGGTGGGAATCTCAGCGGACAGCAAAAAGGTAACTAGCCATTAAAAGCCCATGGAAATAAGGTCTTGGCCTGGGACTTAGAATTCATTAGTCTAAGCATTAGGCAAGGAGCCCTGGGGAGATCAATTCAAAGTCAAGGCACCCCCCATGGAGAAAACCCCTTCCACAGGTGCCACCTGCCTGATCTCTGACAACAGGGATAGTGAGAGAATGATGCCCTTAACTGGCAGGCAGCCTCATGCAAAATTAACGATGCGTGGTTAATGCAGAATTCTATGAAGTTAATTATGACCAGAAGCTTCCAGATTGGATCAGAAGCCATTTCTGTTTCCTTTTGGCAGCCCAGTCCTATGTAGGTGGGATGTCCTCCAAGAAATACTCTCTCTCTCTACCTTCTGAGTGGCTTAACACTTCTTTTAATCAGAGAATTGAGGGAGCCTGTAACATTGGCCAAAACCACTGATTCTCACCCGTATCGGTGGCTTCTACTTTTTAAAAGCAAAATGTTACGGTGCCAACAAATATCAAGGAAGAACACTCAGTCCCCATATCCCCCATGTGACTTTGCAATTCTGGGATATGGTTTATAGAAGACAGAGGATGCTGCTCTCTACATAAGATCACTTCAGCACTACCAAGAGAAAGTGTCTTTGGTAGGATCAAACAGGAAACTATGCCTGGCAGTAGAGTTCTGGGTTAATTCACGGGACGCTGAGAAAGTAAGAGGGTAGGGGCTGTGTACTCAGAAACAAGGCTCATCCACATCTTGGCATATTAAGCCGATCATCCAAACCAGGCCATAGTAAGCTTGCAAATTGCATACTGCCAGACGTCACCTAGAAAAATATAAGCTTCTTAGTACATACATAAGCATCGGTGGCAGCATACAGCTTTTGCTCCTCTGTAAGGGGAAACTGCTTCCAGTTACCACAACGGACCGATTTGTCTTTCAAAAGCTGTTTGTGGAACAGATGCTTCAGAAGGTTGTTGAGGCTCCAGATCTCTTTACATTTGAGCTAAACAAAATAAGTTGCAAACATTAAGCGCGAGCTGTTTTTGAGGCTACATCAGATAATAAGCGCACAGTGATATATTTCAGATAGAGATGGAATAAATCTAAATCGCAGGTTTAAAATGTGTTCGGAGAACACGCTAAATTTTAAAACAGAGGTTAAGGGGAGCAATAGGCTGTGAAAGAATTTCATGATACGAAACCTTAAATCAGCTACCTTTAACATGAGCCATGCTGCAATTAAGTGTGTGTATGGGAAATCCATCCAGAAGACAAAATGTTTATCAAAGAGTTAGTGATTCTAACATGGTTATCCTTCCTGCCTCTGTTCCTTCCCCCTCCCTCGCAGCTGTTAAGTTTTTGATGGCGTAAGAACAGTTTTTGATGTCCTCCCTCGCAGCTGTTAAGCTTTTGATGGTGTGAGAACAGTTTTGGATGTCCTAATCAGTGGTGAGGAGGTGAAGCCCCACATACGCCTTAATCAGTCTGGGAGGATAGTGCTGGGAACCTTCTGTGATGTTGGAAATTGTTATGGGAAAGTGGGACATTGAGAGGGGATGACTATCTATAACATCGGATGGCTTAGGCAGAGTTTTTCAGAAGTTTGTGCATGGACTGATTGGCTGCAGGGCCTTGCAAACTGAGGCTACCTGGGGGAGTCACTTCGCCACATCTTGAGGCCTTCCAAGTTGCAGATAGAAGTGCATGCTTGGTATGTATATATTGCTTGTTTTTTAGGAATAAAACCTTCTTCTCACTCGTGTTTTGTACTGCTTCTGGATCTCTTTTAAAAGAACCACCTTGCATTTGGCAAGACAGTGTGCCACAATGAATAGATGTATCAGCTGAATAATAATAATAATTTTTATTTATACCCCGCCCTCCCCAGCCAAGGGCGGGCTCAGGGCGGCTAACAAGCAATAATAAAAACAAGTTGAATGAATACAACTTAAAAACGAGGTTAAAATACAACAATTAAAATACTGAAACATTAAAATTTTAAAATGCAGCCTCATCACAGGAGGAGAAAGGAAAAAGGAAAAAGAAAGAGGGGGAGGGGGAGGGAATCAAATTGGCTCCAATACAACAATTAAAATACTGAAACATTAAAATTTTAAAATGCAGCCTCATCACAGGAGGAGAAAGGAAAAAGGAAAAAGAAAGAGGGGGAGGGGGAGGGAATCAAATTGGCTCCAAGCCAAAGGCCAGGCAGAACAGCTCTGTCTTACAGGCCCTGCGGAAAGAAATCAGATCCTGCAGGGCCCTGGTCTCATGAGGCAGAGCGTTCCACCAGGCCGGAGCCAGTGTTGAGAAGGCCCTGGCTCTGGTTGAAGCTAATCTAACTTTCTTAGGGCCCAGGACCACTAGGGTGTTGCTATTTATGGACCGTGGGGCATACCGGGAGAGCCGGTCCCATAGGTATGAGGGTCCTAGGCCGTGAAGGGCTTTAAAGGTCAAGACCAGCACCTTAAATCTGACCCTGTGCTCCACCGGGAGCCAGTGCAGCTTGAAAAGCACTGGGTGAATATGCTCCCATGGCAGAGACCCTGTGAGGAGCCTCGCTGCAGCATTCTGCACCCGCTGGAGTTTCTGGGACAGCTTCAAGGGCAGCCCCGCGTAGAGCGAATTACAGTAGTCAAGCCTGGAGGTGACCGTCGCATGGATCACTGTGGCCAGGTCGGGGCGGGAAAAGTAAGAGTAAAGAGTAAAGTTCTGTATCACTAGCTGAAAAAATCCATCGCATAAGGCTTGGTGTGCCGTAACTCAGTGACAGAGCCTCTGCCTTGCATGAAGACGGCCCAATCCCTGGCATCCCCAGGTAGAGCCGGGAGAGATCCCTGCTGGAAGCCCTGGAGAACTACTGCCGGTCAGTGTAGACAATACTAAGCTAAATGGGCCATTGGTCTAACTCAGTATAAGGCAGCTTCCTATGTTCCTGTGTTTTGTGTCATTGGAGCAGGGAGTTCCAGATACCCAACACATTACATGAGAATTAATGAACCCTGGGCCAAACAATACTCAAGTTGTTATGTACTGAAGTTCTCACCCTGGGCCAGCAGGGGGATACTGTAGATAGTTATGCAAATGAAGGATCGAAAGTGACGTTCAGTGATTGGATAGTTTTAGAAAGTTGCAACAGTTACGTTGTACTGGAGCTCTATATAAGCAGGCTGACTGAGCCCTTCAGTCAGTTCTGTTCTGGCCTCTGAATAAATAAGAGCTGTTTGAAGAATCGCTGTGTCGTCTGATATGTTCACCCACAACTTTACACAAGTGACAAGCAAGAAGGCTCATCCCAGATTTGTGGAAAGTGACATTTCTAGCTACTGAGATGGTCCATTTTCAGTCTCTTTAAATTCCTATAGATTCATAGCCTGGGAAACGAATTATTTGCACTAGGCTGATCTGAGGCCAGCAACCATAGTAGTTCCTCAATATTATTATTATTTTAAAAATCACAAATGGAATGGAAATACAGTCCAATAAGCAAAAGCGAAGGAGAAGAAAGTATTTGGCACAATATGAACATTGATCCTAAAAGGATCTCATTATGGGATATCCATTTTCTTTTTACCGTGTGTTACATTTAAAATTTAAGATATCACTAGCTGCAGGAGATTCATCCAGCAATGTTAGTCTAAATACACAGCATAGGGTTTCTCGCCTACATAGCTTATTTTCTATAACTTCTCTGTTGAGTATCCACTCTAATAACAAAGAGTGAGTTATTATTACCTTTTCATTAGCAAGGTCCCCCAGGTCCACAAGGCTCTCCAACTTGATTTCAAAATCACGCATCAGCTTCCATTTATCCCCTTCGATACCAACCCCAACTTTTTTAATAGTGTTACTTTCAAGCAATTTTTTTAGTGCCAAAGGAAAGTCTGAAATGATCAAGTATGCACATTTTTTAAAATAACCACTTAAGGAATGTATATCCTATCTATTTAATGTAACCTTAGGCTTCTCACGATGCTTTTTTTTTAAAAAAAGAAAGAAGTAAATTATATGTTATTCTGGTCTCTATCACAGCTGCACCACCTCAGCTATACATTAAATTACCTACCCACCAAAAAAAAAGATATTTTCAGCTAGAAGTGCTGAATAGACAACAGAATATTTCATTACATATTTTTTTTACCCCACCCTTCCTCCCAAGAGAATTCTGACCATATTCACCAGCTGATCTAGAGATACAGCTCACAAATTCAAAAGAACTTAGGTTCAGCCCAGAAACAGATAGGAGACATGAATATTAGCTACAGAGTTGAAGTACTGTGTATGCATTGATACATAATGGATAGCACTGAATCTGAAGCACTGAGCTTTGGTTCACAGGCTCAGTGGGAGCAAAAGAAACGAGCGTGAAGAAACCAGTGTCACCTCCCCAAACAACCTGACCTAAGTGAGGAGAAGAAACACCAGCAGCTGAGGAATTGAGGTCCCCAAAAATCCCTTGCTAGGAACAGAAAGCTGCAGCCAAAACAATTTCTTTCCGGTTCAGGAAACAGCCACACAGGCTTTGGTCCCATGAGGACCCCGCATTTAAAGCACTACGATACCACTTTATACATTCATGGCGTCACCCAAAGAAACATGGGAAATATAGTTTGTCAAGAGTGCAGGGAGGAGTTAAAAAGGTAAGGGACCCCTAACCGTTAAGCCCAGTCATGGACAACTCTGGGGTTGCGAGCTCATCTCACTCTATAGGCGGAGGGAGCCGGCGTACAGCTTCCGGGTCATGTGGCCAGCATGACTAAGCCGCTTCTGGCGAACCAGAGCAGTGCACGGAAATGCCGTTTACCTTCCCTCGGAGTAGTACCTATTTATCTACTTGCAATTTGGCGTGCTTTCGAACTGCTAGGTTGGCAGGAGCAGGGACCGAGCAACGGGAGCTCACTCCATCACAGGGATTCGAACCGCCGACCTTCTGATCGGCAAGTCCTAGGCCTCTGTGGTTTAACCCACAGCGCCACCTGCGTCCCTCAGAGAGGAGTTAGAATACCCATATTGCCCTCATATTGCTACAATTCCCAGAGGTCCCTGGGAAGGAGGATTGATTTTTAAAGCACTCTCAACAAGCAGCTGCTATAATATTCTTTTTCTGCCACCACTTTAGACCTGGAAGGCCCTGGAAACGAAGAAAAGCAGTAGCAGGAAATGTGAGCATGTCTTTCCCTACACAGCAGAAAAATACTGAATGCCCGTTCCCAGATATTGCTTCTTTTTGATCTGGGAAATAAAAGTAGTGGAACTGTACAGGCAGAGATATGTTGTGACATGATAAATTCCAACTGTACTTCCTTCTGCACTAAGAATCCTACTCTCTCCTCCCTCAACAGAATGAAGCAATTTAAATTGTTGTGCTAAACTGACACCTGTGAACTTTCCAGTTTACACATCAATAAAAACAATATTTTGCCTGAAAAGAAATCTGTTCAGATTTGCTACAACAGAAAAGATTATCACACTAAGCATCATGGAGATCAGGATCCCTTCAGGCAGATATCACACTTGACATAGTGAGAACTTCTCTCCCTCCACAACTGCAAAATACTCAGCATGAATCTGTACTATACATATGCAGTAGAACCGCATGGTACAGTTCTATAGAGTTATATATTTGACCGGTATTCCACTGTGGGAAGGATTACAGAACCTCCCTGAACATTGAAATCCACCAAGCTGGTTCTCACATTGCATAAGTTAAGCAAGTCCAGCTTTTCTTGGTTACAGAGTTTGGACTGCCAGGGTACAAAACGTCCTACTATTGTGAGAGCAGGCCTTTTGCTGCTTTACAAAATACCGTATTTTTTGCTCTATAAGACTCACTTTTTCCCTCCTAAAAAGTAAGGGGAAATGTGTGTGAGTCTTATGGAGCAAATGCAGGCTGCGCAGCTATCCCAGAAGCCAGAACAGCAAGAGGATTGCTGCTTCACTGCGTAGCGATCCCTCTTGCTGTTCTAGCTTCTGAGATTCAGAATATTTTTTTTCTTGTTTTCCTCCTCCAGAAACTAGGTGCATCTTATGGTCTGGTGCGACTTATAGAGCAAAAAATACGGTAAATTGTGTTCAACAAAGCAAACAAACTGAACTACAGCTTAGATGAAAGGACAACTTAACAAGTACATTTTGTTGAGAGATTAACGACACAGTACTGACTTGACATAGAAGAGATGTGAAACAAATAGCACTTTTGTTCAGATCCACAGAGTTGGATTAAAGCGACTTTGCCCTCCTTCCCTTTAGTGTAGCATGGCGGCCATTCAATGTCAAATCCTAATGCAGCTCCATAGGATAAGGTTGTACTAGAAGATAAAAGGTATTAACAGGATTAGTACAGTGCAATCCTGTGCAGGATTATTGAGAAGCAAGCCTTTCTACACCTAGAGGGCATAAATTTGCACAGGTAATATTTGTTAGTGTCTTTTCTTCTTTCAAGAAATACTGCATGACTATCTTATCAGTTCTGTGCAAGACCTAGTACTTGCAAGGATCCTTAGTACTAACTTGACATGAAAGACTGTATAAATCTTTGTAAGGGGGGGGTGTCCTTCATTTTTTAATTGATTGTGTGTGTGTGTGTGTGTGTGTGAGTGAGAGAGAGAGAGAGAGGAGAGAGAGAGAAATATTGAGGACATCATACCTCTTTCAATTAATGGCCCTTATTCCTAGATTTTGGAGGTGGCTCCCACATTTGGATCAGATTTGTCTATAACAGCCTAATGAACATAATTTTTATTTTATTTTTAAGCTTACAAAAATGAGATGCCATAGGGTTAGCAGTTTAAATTAAACTTTCAGTCTCTTACGCAATATCCTCTGAGAGCAAGGAACAGTCGTTTGCATTATAGCTGTAAACAACGGAACCATGGAATTCTAAGAAGGGAAGGTTGTCTTCCAGGGCACTCCGGTGGACTGGATTATTCTGGTTCATAAAAATGCAAAAGAGAGCTTGTTGTATAGGATGTTTAAGAAATGGTTTTCAGATCAATCATACTGGCACAGGTCACAGTGCGCTTGCCTTCTTGTCCAGGTTTCAAAAGCATCACAACAATTTCTGCTGATAGGTAATTAGAGAAGTTAATGTATCCAATGCATACCAAGAAAACGCTTTGCCCCACGCATATATAAAACATATACATCTTCCAACACAGAGATTATTTGCTATGTCACCACATGCCATGTCATCAACTCAATCTCCACTACTCAACCTGCAAAACCTTAAGGAGAGTCACTGATGACTGTTCTTTTGGAATACTTTTCAGGTCATGCAATCACAACACCCAGTCCTCATGAGGAATGGTATCAAGCTAACATCAACACTATTTGGGACATAATAAATCTAAGAAATGCAGTAGTTTTACATTTTTCCGTGAAACGGAAAAATTCTATGTGATTTGCTAATTAGGAACTGCACACAGAAGTACAATCAGTGCTGCATTTCAGAGTCTGCCACATTTTACTGCTTTTTTTCATTCTTGTTCTCTTGTGAGAATCAAGCATATTCCCAATCCTTACCTTTTTGTCCCCTTTGGTCTGTTCAGTCATCCACTGAGGTAGTTTATTTGATAAAGAATCCATATTCCTATCAAATTTGTTTGGATTTGTATGTTAACTGGAATAGAAGAAATAACAAGTATGCAACTTGGCTCAGTCTAATCTGAAATGATTTGTGTGGCATAAGTCAATCCATTCCAATCAGTTATTTGGGGGAAAGTCAGAATATAAGTTTTCCACATAAGTAAATAATATAAAGAAAAGATATTGCTTAACCGTAAAATATTCAAAGGAGGAACTGTTAAATTGCAATCATAATGTCATTTATGTGGAAATAAGCCCCATTTAATTTAATAACACTTACTCCTAAGTAGACACAGTTAGGTTATAATAATAATAATATTATAATAATTTATTATTTATACCCCTCCATCTGGCTGAGTTTCCCAAGCCACTCTGTGCAGCTCCCAATCAAGTGTTAAAAACAATACAGCATTAAATATTAAAAACTTCCCTAAACAGGGCTGCCTTCAGATGTCTTTTAAAGATAGGATAGCTACTTATTTCCTTCACATCTGAAAGGAGGGTGTTCCACAGGGTGGGTGCCACTACCAAGAAGGCCCTCTGTCTGGTTCCCTGTAACCTCACTTCTCGCAATGAGGGATCCGCCAGAAGGCCCTCAGTGCTGGATCTCAGTGTCCGAGCTGAACGATTGGGGTGGAGATGCTCCTTCAGGACCGAGGCCGTTTAGGGCTTTAAAGGTCAGCACCAACACTTTGAATTGTGCTCGGAAACGTACTGGGAGCCAATGCAGATCTCTCAGGACCGGTGTTATGTGGTCCCGGCGGCCAGTCCCAGTCACCAGTCTAGCTGCCGCATTCTGGATTAATTGTAGTTTCTGGGTCACTTTCAAAGGTAGCCCCACATAGAGCACATTGCAGTAGTCCAAGCGAGAGATAACCAGAGCATGCACCACTCTGGCAAGACAGTCCGCGGGCAGGTAGGGTCTCAGCCTGCGTACCAGGTGGGAGCTGGTAGACAGCCGCCCTGGACACAGAATTAACCTGCACCTCCATGGACAGTTGTGAGTCCAAAATGACTCCCAGGCTGCACACCTGGTCCTTCAGGGGCACAGTTACCCCATTCGGGACCACACCCGCCCGCCCCCTGTCCCCCCAAAACAATACTTCTGTCTTGTCAGGATTCAACCTCAATCTGTTAGCCACCATCCATCTTCCAACCGCCTCCAGGCACTCACACAGGACCTTCACCGCCTTCACTGGTTCTGATTTAAAAGAGAGGTAGAGCTGGGTGTCATCTGCATACTGATGAATACCCAGCCCAAATCCCCTGATGATCTCTCACAGCAGCTTCATATAGATATTTAAAAGCATGGGGGAGAGGACGGAACCCTTAGGCACCCCACAAGTGAGAGCCCAGGGGTCTGAACACTCATCCCCCAACACCTTCACTTTCCACTTTCTGGACACGGCCCAGGAGAAAGGAGTGGAACCACCATATAACAGTGCTCCCAGTCCCTCTAGACGGTCCAGAAGGATCTTATAGTTGATGGTGTCAAAGGCCGCTGAGAAATCCAGCAGAACTAGGAAACAGCTCTCACCTTTGTCCCTAGCCCGCCGGAGATCATCAACCAGCACGACCAAGACAGTTTCAGTCCCATAAAAGGTAAAGGTAAAGGTACCCCTGCCCGTAAGGGCCAGTCTTGACAGACTCTGGGGTTGTGCGCCCATCTCACTCAAGAGGCCGGGGGCCAGCGCTGTCCGGAGACACTTCCGGGTCACGTGGCCAGCGTGACAAAGCTGCATCTGACGAGCCAGAGCCACACACGGAAACGCCGTTTACCTTCCCGCTAGTAAGCGGTCCCTATTTATCTACTTGCACCTGGGGGTGCTTTCGAACTGCTATGTTGGCAGGCGCTGGGACCGAGCAACGGGAGCGCACCCCGCCGCGGGGATTCGAACCGCCGACCTTTCGATCGGCAAGCCCTAGGCGCTGAGGCTTTTACCCACAGCGCCACCCGCGTCCCTTTGTGAGGCCTGAATCCCAACTGGAAGGGATCCAAATGGTCCGCATCCTCCAGGCGTGCTTGGAGTTGTTCAGCAACCACCCGCTCAATCACCTTGCCCAGGAATGGTAGATTTGAGACTGGGCAATAGTTGGCCATATTACTGTATTTTAGTATTTTGTTGAAAGCCGCCCAGAGTGGCTGGGGAAGCCCAGCCAAATGGGCGGGGTATAAATAATAAATTATTGTTATTATATAATATTATACACGTTTCCCCAGAAGTAAGCCCTCCTCTCGTTTTATAAAATATAACTTGCTGCCAGGTAAGTGCATAGGTGTGCAGCCTAACAACATTGCAAACTGAAGTTAACTATGCGCGTATGGAATCAGTGCAGAGGGTCCAGAAGTTACACAATCAATTTTTGCGTGTACATACAACCTTATTCAACCCAGTCACAGACATTGCCAGTCCGAATGAGGATCGGCGTTGGAAAACTCACCTGACCTAAGCCTTCCCTGGGATCCTCACCCTCATCCTAGCAACCTTTCCCGCCAGACCCGCTAAATAGCCGTCACAAGCCGCCGACGCTACTGTCGCAACCGAATGACGTCGTTTACCGCGCCTCTCCAGCCCATCCCTTCGCCCTCCCTCCCTTTTCCGCAGCTGTCAACTCTAGAAGGTGAAATGAGGTGAGACGCATGCGCGTGGCGCTTTCCGCGCCCGCCGGCCTCTGGCGCCCGCGCGGCATTCTGGGGCTTGTAGTTTGCGGTTCTGTGAGGGGAGGCGGGAGAGGAGGTCGGTACGGTTCGGCGACGGGAAACGAACCCCCGGGCCCCTCTCCCCGCTCGTCGCCCTGCTCCTTCCGTCCACTGGCGCGGAGAGCGGGCTCCGTCCGGGCTTCCCGGCGGAGGAAACGGACCTGAGGCGGCGGCGGGAAGCGAGCCTGGCGGGCGGGCGGTAGGACCTGCCCGGCCGGGGATGCTCCTCTCCGGCTCCCTGCGGGCGGCAGCGCGGGGAAGGCGAGCGCTGCGGGGGCCAGCGGCGGCTGACTGGCTAGCTGGCGAGCGAGGAAGGAAGGAAGGAAGGAGGCGAGGAGCGGCTGACGAGATGGAGTAAGTATCCCCTCGCCCGGCTCCCTTCTCGCCCGCCTCGCCTGCGTGTCATGGCGGCGGGTGATCCTTCCCTCCCCCCCCCCACAGCACGGAGAGCGCCGTGTATGTCGGCCTGAGGAGACGAGGGGGTGTCCGTGGGAATAGTCACCTGCTGTGTCAGGTGGAGGGGTGGGGGTTGCTCCCGCAGGTAGAAAAAAGCGGGGTTGGCTTTGACCCTGGGAGGCTGTTGCCGAGGGCGGCGGGGGGGGGGGGGGAGAGAGACAGCCGAGCAGTTAGAAAGGCTTGTGGTGGCGGGAAGGCCCGTAATCGGGAAGGGTGGCAATATTTATTTATTTATTGCAGGCCTTTATTCCAGGGGTTTCCCCTTCCCCTTATCCTGCATCCCCAACAAAGGGCATGCTACCTTCTGCCTTGAACGGCGGCGGCGGCGGCAGCAGCAGCACATGCAGAAATTTCAGAAGAGGGGCGCTGGTGTAGGGTTACCTTTTCTTTCTTTTTTTGCTGGCCCTGATCCTGTATTCTAGAATCATAGAGCTGGAAGGGACAAGGAGGATCATCCTAGTCCCACCATCCTGCGATGCAGGAATATTTTGCCCAACGTGGGGTTCGAACCCACCACCCTGAAACTCTTGACCCTGAGATTCAGAGCTATCCCAGTCCTGACATGCTGAAATTCAGCAAATGAAGGCTTTTCTATCATATTATATATTATAATAATATATAATTACCTGTCCCATCTGGCTGGGTTTCCCCCAGCCACTCTGGACGGCTTACAAAACATGTAAAAAACATAGTAAAATGTCAAACATTAAAAACTTCCCAATACAGGGCTGCGATCAGATGTCTTCTAAATAATAGCCCCTTCGCCAGGAAAAGCTGGCGAAAGTTTCTATATGCCAGGAAGCTATTTAAGGCACAAGCAGGGCCAGTGAAAGTGGGCAGGGGGATGGCAGCCCTACATCACCGCTTTTCTCTTTTAAGATTTATGCTCTCTCTTTAACATTATTAATAACCTTCGGAAATTTTGCATGTGAAGCTTTTACCACAATGTATCCCTGTCAGGAAAGTCTCCAAATCCCTCCCTGCCCCTTGTAACATCCATAGCTATTATGGGTTGAATGGGCTCTGTTTCTCTCTCCCTAGCTCCCCACAGTACTGTGGGTTGGAATAAAAGGCAAGAGGAGTGTTAGTGGAGCAACTTTCTAGAGAAATTAATTATGTACAGAGAGGCTATTGCCGGGAAAGCAGAATAGGCATGCTGGATGTCTATGGTGTTATGCATCTTTGTCATATATTTGTTGTTTTCAGTTGATTGGTAAAGATGGAGAGAGGCAGAGGAGGAGGAGGAGGAAGGAGTGTGGGGGGCTCTGGCCTACACAGGAGCATTTACTCCCAGTCCCAGCAGCAGTATCATTATCCTGCCTCCTCTTCTCAGGCGGGCTGCATGGAGATCCAGGAGCTGGCCTCCAAAAGAGTGGACATCCAAAAAAAGAGGTTTTATTTGGATGTGAAACAGAGTTCCCGAGGCCGCTTTCTGAAGATAGCAGAAGTCTGGATAGGAAGAGGCAGGCAGGACAATATCAGGAAAAGCAAGCTGACTCTCTCCTTGTCAGTAGCTTCTGAGCTAAAGGATTGTCTGGGAGATTTCATAGAGCACTATGCCCATTTGGGCCTAAAAGGCAGCCAGAGTCATCGGAATGATCACAGTAATGGCAAAGAACAAGATTCAAGAAGACGGCAACACCATCACCCACCATCACCTCCAGCATCAGTTGGCTCAGAAGAGCATCTTCACAGCGTCTTAAAAACTGAGTATATTGAAAGAGACAATAGGAAGTATTACCTAGACCTGAAGGAGAACCAACGTGGACGTTTCTTACGGATTAGACAAACCTTGATTAGAGGACCAGGCATGATAGGATATTTTGGTCACAGTTTGGGACAGGAACAAACTATTGTCCTTCCAGCACAGGGGATGATTGAGTTCAGGGATGCTTTGGTCCAGCTCATTGAAGAGTATGGTGAAGGAGACATAGAAGAAAGGAGGAGCGGAGGTGATGAGCCTCCTGAACTCCCAGAAGGGACCTCCTTTAGGGTAGACAACAAGAGGTTCTACTTTGATGTGGGGTCCAACAGGTACGGTATTTTTTTGAAGGTAAGTGAAGTGAGGCCTCCCTACCGTAACACCATCACTGTCCCATACAAAGCATGGACAAGATTTGGGGAAAACTTTATCAAGTATGAAGAGGAGATGAGGAGAATTTACAATGGCCATAAAGAGAAAAGAATGGATACAAGAGGGGACAGTGGTGAAGAACAAGAGGGTCTTGATTAGAATGTATTTCAACTGGCCAAGAAACAAAATAGAAAATTGGCTACAGATACTGATACGTAGTTGTTGGAAGAAGATGCCTTTCTTTTTGTAAGTTCTTCCCTGTTGTTAGATAACACCAATATATAAAATATTACAAGGGTTTGGTTGTCATATTAAATTATACCCAGTAATATCTCTGTGATTTCTATCAGAATAGTTGAGAATAGTTAACCACCCAATGATTCTGAAAATTCTAATAATTTCATGGTCTTCAAAGACTACTTGTGTATAATAGCGCTAAATCTCTTATTACAACCTTTAAAATAATCTGTATCAGGTTTGTGTTGCAGTGTAACATGATACAAGTAAGGCAGATCAAATTAATGTCTTCTAATACTAACCATAGAGCATTTATGACCAAAACTGATCTTTAAATTTTAAATACTTGTATTGGGAAAGGTATCTTTGAATAACTATCTGCTGGTCACTTTATGGTAAAAATCTTGGAAGCGTGGGGGAGGGGGGATCAAACCTCTATAGTGTATTGGCCAGTAATTTCATGGTTACCTAATTTTATGATAACCTATTAATTTTAAGTGTCCCAACAATATAAATCCATGTTTGATTGTTTGAGAGTAATGTTTATCATGAATCATCCATTTGTATGGACTGCTTACATCATGTGAGGAGAGTTTTATTTAAATAATGGTGCAACATTTCAAAAGCTATTTTTGTATTTGTGGTGTTAAGGGGCTCCAGCAAGTTGCTGTGATGTGGGAATTTAGTAGGTGGTTACAGTTGGAATTAAAATTCAAAATAAGGAGGTTAAATATGTGATGTGGAAAAGTAGTAGAATAATGTTGTTTTTATCTTTATACTTTATGAAAATGCTTTGAGAGATTTTGGTGCATCACTTAACTGGTACAAAACAGATCTCTGATTTCACACTGATGCAGTTGAAGCATTCAATAACAGCTATCAGCACTTCCCTTAAATCTTACATTTCAAATCTATATTATTATTGCAGGCCACAATCTGCACTTCTTCTTTTGTTAAATCATTAACCCATGATCCTCCAGCTTAATGCTGTAGAGTTACATCTTGATCTGTAGAGCGATATCTAGAGACAAGAGTTCCAATCATGAGAAGATTTTTTAAAAATACCAAGATAATGAATGGAGAATTCTGTGTTGATTATTGATAAAGAAAAGAAAAAAGTGAACTTGCACCAAAATCACCAAAGGAACTTTAGAAATGTGTGTTACAGTTGTGACAGAGAAGGGGGGAAAGATGTATGGACTTTAATTTCACTGTTTTAGGTGAGTTTCCCAATACAGTGGTGCCTCGCAAGATGAAATTAATCCGTTCCGCGAGTCTCTTCGTCTTGCGGTTTTTTCGTCTTGCGAAGCACGGCTATTAGCGGCTATTAGCAGCTTAGCGGCTTTAAGAAAAAGGAAACAAACTTGCAAGAACTCGCAAGACGTTTCGTCTTGTGAAGCAAGCCCATAGGGAAATTCGTCTTGCGGAACGACTAAAAAAACGGAAAACCCTTTCGTCTAGCGAGTTTTTCGTCTAGCGAGGCATTCGTCTTGTGGGGCACCACTGTATATAAAAAGTGGACCTATTCAGTGTTTGGTCTAGTTTCAGAAATAACAATTAATGAGTAATGTGAAACCTAAAACTAAGATTTCCAATTTGGTTATTTTAATTAGTAGTGGCCTACTGGGCCATGATATCATTGAAAGGTTATACATTCATCTTAGTATAAAAGTATACTAAGAGAAGTTCTGGGGGTGGAAATTAGACATCTGAATGAAAGAGTTCTATGTACCGTTTGTGATGTTTTAAAATTATAGTGAGTTGTCTAAGCCTAAATTACCATATTGCTGATTTGGTGCTGCACGTCCCAATGCCTATAGTAATGGTAGTAGTGTTGGATTCCAAAATACAGGATCCATGAATGTAGAAACTCCTGATGCTCACATTCTCACAACTCTCGTCTCACTATGAGGAACTTCCCCTTCCCCCTCAGTGCAACATGTTTAATTCTTATATCAGTCAATACGTTTTTATTGGAATTTTATGGGAACTTTATCCTATTCTGTTAAATATGGTTCACTGAAATATCCTGCATTCTTCATATAAACTTTTAATTGATAAAAGTATACAAATTGTCTAACTAGTTGTCAAAAAAAGGCATTTTCCCTGTTTTTAGAAAGGAAATAGCTGTGAAGTGGTATCTTTACGCTTCAGTCAGAATTTATATTTGTTTATACAATGGCATGTGCAATTTTTCATCATTGTATCTGAATCCTGTTTTCTGGATTTTGCCATGGATTCTGTACTCAACCCCACTCCAAATTTCTGTATCCCCATTCCACTAATCAAGACTCAGTTGTCATCTGTTTACAGGTGCAGGTTGTTGTCTTCTTCAGATCAACTATGCCCTTAATTAAATGCAGTGCTTTTTTTCTTGGGGGACACAGGAGGACTCATAACCCTAAGCATTTTGTGAATCTTTGTACTTTCGTCCATTTACTGTATTTATTTTTCCCCATTTAAACTATAAAATGGTGATTTTCTTGAGTCAAAATGAGAGTACCCCTAAACATTTTTTTGGGGGGGAAAGCGCTGATTAAGTGCACATGTGAGCATCTGAGACTGACTACACATGAGCTGTAAAGTGGCCATCTACTATATACAGTATACAGTAATTTTGGCTTATCCATTGGAAGCAACTGCTTCTTTCATATTGTCATATCCAAGGGTTATAGTCAATTTACAAAGCTCAGAGCTTAAATGGTAATTTGGGAAATAGATTCTTTTTACACCTGGCAGTACATCCCCATCTTTGGAGAGTGGCAATAACATGTAGTGTTTGCAGAAGGGTCTGTTATAATGTAAAGAACTATTCTTTGCACCCCAAAAATGCCATGTCCCTTAAACTTGAGAAAAACACAAGCTTATTTGCACTAAAAAGCGTGGCCAAAAACAAATCTAGGAGGGCCGGGTGGATAAAATCAATTTGTACCTCTTGAATTATCTGTTCTCATGAGAGAATTTTACAGTAAAGCCCTGACCTCTCTTTTAAAACTATGGTCCAGACAGAAAGTCTGTCAGTTTTGTGATTTTGATAATAATGCACTTTATATTTTATAAATAATAGAAGCACATTTCTGCTACAGGTCTGGTACAGTGTGTTTCAATATTATACTCTAAATCAGTATAAAAATGGCTTTCTGCATATATGTCTGTCAGTGATCTATTTTATGGATTAGATCAAATTACACTGGCATGATTGAGTAGAGCAGGCACCACTTTGAAATTAATTTCAAAATATTAGTGGCCTGTTTTTTTCAGAAATATTGAGTACATTTCTCACTGGATTTGAATAATCAACATTTCTGAAACTCAAATACTTCAATCGATTTTTAAGTAACTTATTACTGCAGCTGCTGCAGATGTGGGTTAAATAACTTTGTCCTATCTGTAGTTTTGCAGTGTTGTCACATAATTCCTCTTCCTTCCATCAAGAGTCCTTTTTGGGGACTAAATTTTATGTGGTTTACACCAGGTTGGTAGTAGGTGACGTGTGCTGGCTATATCTCATATAATGTAGCCTCTCTTTTGCTGAAGTACAAACCTAGAAAGTTGTTATCACAAAACAGTTGTACAAGTGAGTTCCGCAGGACAATTAAAATGACTGTACTTTGCACCAATTCTATGAAAATATATAGCACATTACACTAACTGAAAAGCAAGTAAGTTTGATGAAAAAAATTGCAGAAAAACCATCCTTATTCCTATACTTAAAAGAGTGGGATAAAAGATATCTAATGTGTCAAAACCAGACAGATTTAAAAACTAGAAATGAAGATGGAGATACTATTTCATAGTGACATCATATGTGTATCTCAATATTAAAACTTATTTTTTCTTAAGAATCTGCTGTTCTAAGGACCAGTTTCTCCCTGTCCATTTCTCTCAGACATGAGTAGTGTTACTGTGGTAGTAGCTTAAAAGTATCGGGTAAATAGACTACGGTAATTCTCCAATCGTATTCCAAGTAAATTTTCTTAACATATTTTCAATTTAGTTAAATTTGCAATTAATATGTTATGGGCAGTGTTATTTTTCTAGAACGCTTCCCTTGTTCTCTTATAATGGCAATGAAGCCCACCTAAGAGGTGCCAGAACTGAGTTCCGGCTGGAAAAAAAAGCCCTGTTTAAGGGGACCATATCGTTAAAATAGGAGAATCACATGCTTTGTGTTTGCACACAAATTATAGCGCATTCCATCTTCCATTCATCAGCAGCACGCCCTTCCACGTCAAAATGAACAAAGTCTTTTCTTTAACATTGCTAAACCTAGGTTTAGATTTCTGTGAACAGGCTGATGATAGTAGCACCTTACCCATCCTTATCTAGATGCCTGCCCAAACTCACAAGAGGGAAAGTAATGTATATGTTCAGATAATAAACCAACATGGCTAGGTTATTTTGGAGATAACAAAACCTTTTCTCCCCAAGCAAACGCAACAACATGAATCACTCTTGGCTATATCAGTGGAATACTTGTTTACAGCACATTTCCCCACATAAGTGTATATCCCAGAGCAGTTTGTAAGCTCTTGCATAAAGGGGGAAAAGGACAGTGTGAATCGGTTCTAAGATTTAGGGTGGTACCCAGTGTTGCATAAGCAGAATTTCCCCTATCCTCCCTATTTCACCCCCTCAGGTCCCACTTCAGATCTGCTCCAAAGCCTCTCCCAACCCTTGGAAGCGGATTTGGTGGATATCTGGGGGTCTGCCAGGTATGAGAGAAAAGGAAATTCTGTTCTGCTAGCGGTCAGACACAATTGGAATATCACCCTTAATATAGCTAATAAGATATTTGCAGTGATTATATCTTTACTATATGCATGTTGGCTGATATCCAGTGTTAATCAAACTCGAAGTAGACCTATTGATTGCAACTTGGTCTGGTCTCAGAACGATGGTTGCGTATCACCCATTATTATATATCAAGCCTTTGACCCTGAAATCTCTATCTGAATTTCTGAATTTAAAAATAGGATCTAAAAATCAACTTTTGTACAAACAGAAATTTCAGGTAAATGTTTAGCTCACCAAACTGTTTAATTTATGAGTTACCCCATATTTTCAAAATAAAACATTTTTTTAAAAAAAACCATTGGATTTTGGTATGCAACACAGAGAGGCAGGCCTCTCAGTAGAGTTGAAAGAAATATAGCAGCAAAAATGCTTCTTGAAATATAAGATGAGGTTGTAAAGTGCAGAGTGAAGGTGTAATATTGGATGCTATAGTGTAGCCTTCCTCAACCTGATGCCCTCCGGGTGTTTTTGGGCTACAGCTTCTGTCATCCTTGACCACTGGCCTAGCTGCTTAGAACTGATAGGATCTGTAAAGCGAAGCTTTGGGGAAGAATACCATAGTGTTTCATGTAATAGTTGAACTGCAAGTCTCAAAATAGTGCTGATATTTAAGAATGATCCAAAATACTGTATCCTCTTGGGGCAACATCAGTGATATACACCCATTTGCACAATGGAAAGCTGCTCATGCAGTAGGACTTTTGGTTTTTCTTCTCCCCTCTCCATCCACAGCCTGCCCCCTAAATCTGTTCCAGAGGATCCTTCAACCATATGGAACAAGTTTTAGGGGCACACAGAGGGGCCAATGGAGGAAGGGGGGGAACCCACTGCATGAGTGGATGCCTGTTTTCACCCATGATATTTTATTGGGATGCAGATTGGTAGGAGCTTTTAACGTTATATGCTTGTTAGTGAACTTTTTTGCATTTTTAAATTGTTTAATAAAGTGGCTTAAAAACTCCATAGGGAAGAGAACCAGCAAGGTTCAGGAGGGACCGATGATCATTTATTGATAACCATGTTAATTGAAACTATAGCAATTTGTGTAGTAGCAATATATTTAGTTTATTATTTAGCTCTTGCTGTAGATTAGCTGCAGTTTGATTGAATTAAGCTCTTTATAATCGCAACATACTGGTTCAAATTCATTTGTATGTGCATGTAAAACATTTTCATCATCATCTTTGTTGCAATGTCCAAAATGAAATTTGCTTTTTCCATTTCATTGTTTTCAGAATCACTTTTATTTCCTAAATACATTTTGTAATAGTAAAGAACTGGAGTAAATATTTTATTTGGTTGAAGTGGAATGAAAACATGTGACATGCCATACCTAGGTATTTTCTGTTTTTTAAGCTAGAGAAATGCCCTTCTGATATTATGCTAGCCGAAGAACCTGTAGGCTCTCTAAGCAACTTTTTGTTTGTTAAAAATAATCTTGGCTCAGATGTCATGTTTCCAATCGCCCAAACCAAAAAAAGAGTCATATTGTTGGTGTACAATTCTTTTCATCCCTGAGCAAC